AAATAGGCAATTTTCGCTTTTGCTAAGAATGGTATTGAGGGATGAAAGATACTTCGGGGCCGGTCTTAGTTATTGCTCCGTTCCCCTTGAAAATGATGTGATCAACCTGACAACCATGTGATCCCCCAAAAATCCCCCGCCCCGCCTCGGCGCTAAATTCCCTAGCTGCCAAAACAAAGTCAAAATGCTGCGTTTGTTCACAGTCTCGAAAGAAGTCTTAAAAATTGATGATTTATTCTGTCAAACTCTGGATTCTGAGTTATTAAAGTCCAAAACACTGCTACAGTTATGTCGTGATCACGAGATACTTTCACATTACATGTAAATGCATCTTTTATTTAGAAGTAGGGAGAGAAAATTGCGACCAAAACGCTCAAGGTGACTTATTCAGAGAGTTTTGTGGCTATCACAAGAGTTGGAAACAAAACTTTTGGTTGTGCCAAAACGGATTACGTGTAAAGTATTGGCCAGCACATCATGTTTCCTTACGCATGAGGCAGAAGCTAATTTATATCGATTTTCTAAAACGCTGGCTTTTCAAGACAATTTTTTTACAATTCCAAATCTTTTTATCTTTTATTTGATATGTTTTTCAGTTCAGGAAAGCATGTTATTAAGAATTTAATTTATGAAAATTGGAACTTTGAAAGTTTCAATTAGTTTCCACTAAAAAAAAAATGCAATGGAACAAACTATATTCAAAATTGGCGGCACAATATGCTTATTTGCATCACTGCTCATTCAAAGACAATTATTCGGGATCAAAAGTCGTAGATGATGCTATAACTTCAACGCAAAATTTGCTGGACTGTGCATTTATTAACGACTATGAATTTTAAAGATAAATGATTTGCTACGCGTGCTGTTATCGAATTGGAGTAGGTAAACACGCTCTCTCGAATTCTTCCACTGCCCTTAATGTTCATCCACATAAACAGGAAAAAATCCTATAACAGCAGGGAATTTTTGACGGATTATTCCCACGCACCTAAGCGATTCGTTTACTTACGCACCAGCCTCTGAGACGTTATAATTTGAAGAAGTTGCATCAGTAAATTTTGCATATGTTTAGCAAACTGAAGGAATTAATGACGTAACCTCTTTAAAAGGTGTGTCATTTCCGCCTATTAAGTTTCACTTTCGTTTCTTGTTACCTATCGAACATTTTATCCATTAGCCACGCTGCTCTGAAGATTGGGCGTCCACTTCCTATGTCATCAACAACCGAATAAATTTCATTATTATCCAATTGCATTGGGTAGCGATATTGTACGGTTATCTTGACAGTTGGTTACTTCGTGTTATAAAAATACCTTTTTACCCAGTCGGCTGGGCGCACTACGCTTCCCTAACCACTTTCCTTTCTTCGCCTTATGAGAAATGAACAGAAAGACTTGGCAAAAAAAAAAGCAGTTGGATAATAAATAACTTATTAGACGTTTTGGTGTGCAGTATCGCTGGGTATTTTTACTCGTTATTTGTGTTTTGACACGTCCTACGGGTTCGTCAAAATATGGCACAACTCGTATAAATACTCAGCGATAGTACTCACCAAAACGTCTAATTGGATATATTTACTTTCACTTTATTGACTCATTCTACGCTTCAATGCGATTATTGGATGCTAATAAAACCAAGAATATTTTAATTCAAGTCTAAAAAAGAGTCAGATACCTACATTCGTAGCAAATTTTTAATAGCACATTGTAGTTGGAAATTAAAAAAAAAAAAATGCTCTTAACTGTTCACACGAGAACAGATAACATGAAACTAACAACGTTTTCTAATTTACCTTTTATCTTTTGCTCTAAGGATTATTTTCGTTTGATAAATTAGAATATATATTACTATAAATTTTTTTTTTTAGGGATCACATTTTACATTACGATTTAGCTTTTGACACAGTCGTAAACCACTGATACAATCTTGCCATTTGAGAAAGTTACAAACCTTACTTTCTCTTTACAATCCTTTTTGCAATGTGGTATCTCAAAGACATAATTATAAATTAGACGATGATCAAATTTCTTTATACACTGATTGTCTTTCGTACTCTTTGGAAACCTTCTCTTGAACTGTTCAGCGATAACATGTTCTCCTTGGGTCGCTGAAGTTAAGTATGCAGTTTTCTCTGATTTTGCGCCGTGAACCATACGCCGATCTTGACTAGTATTGACGGTACTTTTCCCTGAAGATTTTATCATCCCATGGAATAGAGAGACTGATGAAATCCTAGGTCTTGCTTGCACTTGTACACTAGAGTTCATCATTAATACGCACAGAGCCATGGAGAGTAACTGAACAAATGTTTGAGGAACAAAATTAGTTAAATAAATTAATAATTCTTCTAGTTTCAAATAAACGTTTTAATTCTGTTTTCGGCAAACTGAAAGATGTAGGAATTGAAAAATTGATCACGTGATGGACCAGTCGAGAAAATAACCAAAAGACAATTTGTGCGGAGAGATAGCTCATCAGAAAGTAAAATTTCAATTCAATTGAAGTGGTCATACCAATAACGTAAAGCAAAACGAAAACAGAAATATGTTTATCCTATTAGACGTTTCGGTGTGTAGTATCGCTCAGTATTTTTACGAGTTGTGCTGCATCATTTTGACGAGCCCGTAGGACGAGTCAACATACAAACAACGAGTGAAAATACTCAGTGATGCTACACACCAAAACGTCTAATAATTTATTTATTATCCAACTGCCTTTTTTTCTGCCAAGGCGGGAAAAGCAAAGCGGATAGAGAAACGTTGTGCGCGCAGCCGATAAGTTAAACAGGTTTTTTTTACCTTACATAGTAACTAACTGTCCAAACAACCGTACAATATCGCAGGATATTTGTACTCTTTTCGCGCGTTATTTGTACTCTACTTTGTGCAGTTGGATAATAAATATATACATTTATTTTTGTCGTAACGGTATTTATTTTAACGAGTATTTAAAAATGTCACGCTGAAACAAAACTACGCATTATTAAATTACGCATTATTAAATAAGAATTTAGCCTTTACCTGAATTATCACCGAGGCAGACATGTTCATCTCTTCTTTGTTCGACCGCGCTGAAGACTTCTGAATTCACTCAGTTTGCTCAGTTCCTAGGTCCTGCTTAAATAGTCCTTTCGTATGATTTCGACAACTAAAAATACTTTAAACCGTTTAAGTGACGTTTCTATTCTTTTAGGAATTTCAGACGTACCTGTGAGTCAGTTCCGCGTGAACGGGCATCAAAGGGAAGCTTAAATCAGCAATTACGTCTAATTTTCCTTAAAGTGGCTTTGATCAAAAGAGAGAGAAAAAATTCCCCTTAATTTCTGATGTTAAGTTAAATCACGCCATAATTTTCCGTATCGTACTTTTCCTCAAAATTTTCGTATAAAAATTGTTCAAAATATTCATCCTCTTTCCTTTTATGCTAAGGAAAATAATGAACCAAAACTTAATAAAAGAAAATTGAAAATACTATACTATTCCACGATGCTTTTAACCACTAAACCATTTTCAGTGAACAAGTTATACAAAAAATGTGTTTATTTGGTTCTTTTATATGATCGTCCTAAACTATTATACGTTTTGTAGAATTGGCACTTTCCCATAGGGATTTTTCTTACGAAATTTTTCTTTATATTTGCAACTTCGATCAGGTTGTCTCCCTAAAAATTCTGCATTTTGTGTCATATAAGAAACTATGATACATATGAACTGTTTAATTCCTCATGAATGGAACAAATCCAAACTTCAGAAACTGTCAGTAAAACTAGATAACATTCTGTGCTGTCGTTTCGTAACAATCCAAAAATAAACTCAAAAGTTTATTATGCCTACGCAATGACGCATTTGAAGTCTGCTTTCATGTTGGAAGGAAATCGAAAGTAATTTACCGAGGGAAAGTTTGTCATTTGAATTTATGAGATGAGGCAATACTCCCTCTACCTTGTCTCATTCATTCATTTTTTTGAACCAAAACATTTTTATGCACTTTGCATTACTTACTCGAGTGAAGGATACTTAGTTTGATTAATGGATATTCTAGTCTCATTGTTCACTATTTTGTAATTGTGTTATTACACGATTTGCCTGGCAAGTCAAGTGTGACTGAATTACCATGCATCGTATATTTTCCGTATTTAAATCGCTGTTTTTCACAGTGGGTATACTGATCAATTGACTTCGTTTTCGTGGATGTTGAAAGTATCTTTTCGGCCGAAAATGTCCATAATGGAGAACAAATATTAGCCTGTAGTACCAATTATAAAGCCAGGTTGGCGGACACGGCTTCATAGTTCTTTTATACAAACTTACACGCGCCAAAATTATTCATCTAGGTTCCTAAACTACGCACGAGTGATTTACACACAAAAAAGCCTGAGGAGACTTTTGTCTAAAAACGTTTGATCTGTAACAGACAGTAGACACAGCTGAGTCGAAATAGTAACGGAAGAACATGCCCTATTAGTTACGTCTGTTGTAGGTACCCTGAATTATTTTACACGCGCCAAAATTATTCATCAAGGTTTCTAAACTACGCACGAGTGATTTACACACAAAAAAGCCTGAGGAGGCTTTTGTCTAAAAACGTTTGATTTGTAACAGGCAGTAGACACAGCTGAGTCGAAATAGTAACGGAAGAACATGCCCTATTAGTTACGTCTGTTGTAGGTACCCTGAATTATTTTAACTGTTTTGGAAATGCCTATTAATAGAGGTCTGGACGCGTGAACGCTTCTGAATTATGCCTCGGATGACGACAGGTACACTGATTAAGGTTTCACGCCCCAATGTCCAACCATAATCTTCGCTTGTGGAGCAATTCTCTTTCAGTTCTATTCCATTTTAAAACGGAAAAAAAATTATTGGATGAGGAACTGTGAAATTATTTGAAAGTGTTTTTAAATCTACTTGCATAAACCAACCCAACTGTTTTTACCATATCTCATTTGACAATGATATCAGGACGAAGTAAAAATTTCTGTGCGTTTTTAAAATGTGCTTTATTCTCAAATTTAGCTTAACTTGACAAAATGCAAAAGTGTTCTTGCCATAATTTAATATGCCCAGCTTCTACCGCCGCCAAATAAACCGCTGTGACGAATGCATGCTGAGCGCTTGCCCTGAAGCACTTTCCATCCACTTGAACAATTAATCCTGAGGTAACAAACCTTTAATAGCGTGGTTTATATGAAAGCCCTTTACATGAAGTACTTTTGAAACGTAACCGCTGGCAAAAACATTATGGAGCAAGTCTACATGTTCTGGCAAGTATTCTGCTTATGATAAATCTCTCCGAGTTTTTACAATTAATATCTAGGTGTTTCAAATCTACAGGGATCGTCGCCATGGTATTGTTCGTTTTATGGTGTTCTTCTCTGAGGACAAGAATTATTCTTCCTGTTCGCTCTAATGTACTGTTTACCATTTTTACTCCAATCAACTGCTGTCGAGAAATTGTCCAAGTACAACAGGCGTCTTCGCTTGTCTTCCTTCCCCAGGATCAAATACACTTTGTTGACCTTCAGATTACTGCAGCTGCAGGTTATTTCCAGTCCTCTCTTGTCCAATAACTGATGTCTGTTGTTGATCTTGACTCTCCCTTGTTTGTACATGCGCAGTATGCGGACTCGTAAACGAGGCAAGCCATTTTTCATAATCTCGGATTCCATTCGGGCTTTGATCACTGACAAGTAAACACAAATGAATGAGATTGTTATTAGCGTACGCACAGATTGGGTCCGTATTGATTATTTATTTTCTCATCATTGAGTTGCATCTCGCATAACGACTCGTATTCGTATTGAGTTAGTACTAAACACCAGGTTGAAGTCCACAGATAGAGTTCTTCATTTACTTTGCCGAGGTCACTGATATGTGAGAAATAGCTTCTGTGTTTAAAAGCGATTCTTGTAGAACACAAATATCTTGCCATAGGGTTCACAAATGCTAAAAGACTCTTAGACAATACTTCACGCGTGATTCATATCAAACTATTGCATCGATCAATCAACATTCCTCCGGGCAGATCTCCCGAATATCTGAACTTTTGAAGATTTGCTTGTTCAAATTCACTTCCCCGGAAAAAATTGTTTTCAAGTGCCTCACTCGAGTGCCGGATATGATGGTAAGTCTTGTTTTCTTTTTTTGTAAAAGGAAAAATCAGCTACCGTGACTTTTTACACATTGACCGAGCTTTAAAACTTAAACCTTGTAGATCTTTTCTTCTGAGCAATTTGCTCGCAAAGTGAACTGCCTACCTTTAAACACCTCCATATCTGAAGATATAACACTTGTATCCCGCTGTAAAGACATGAAACTTCCGATTCAAATTCCCCACCCCAGTCAAAAAAGGTTCAAATCACCCATCCCCGGGCACGGACGACGGTCAAATCCCCGTCGGTTGTCTATGAGGGATATTGAAGCTTCGAATTGAATGGTGCATAAGAAGCATGAATAAAATACTACAGAGCCTGATCAGCTTTCATAAAAGGTGATTTAACCCCAAGTAGCAATGACGCAACTCACCAAAATCACTCAAACAGAACCTTCTCATGACATGTCTCCTATTGCACCTTTTATTGCAAATCTTTGGAGGAGGAAGTGGCGAGCCTCCTTGTTCTGAGGAATTCCGCCCCGTGTTGGTCCGTTTGTATTTGTCTAGAACAAATATGGGACTACAGACATTAAACTGATAATTCCACACGCTGTTACTTAAATGACATGCGCTTGATATGTATACCTATCTCGAAGGGTTCCCTTTCGTTGGAAAAAAGTTCATTAGGACTACATGTTTATCCTCCTTGAAGTTCTGCACTCTGAAATATTTCGATTCAGGTCCTTCCTCTATCCAGAATCTTCATGAAGTGACTCAGTAATACACTAATTTCTCTTTTCAAAACCTTCACTTCCCTCTCTCATCATTGTTTCCTTTATGCGTAGTTTTTTCACTCATTTTTTTTTTCCTTTGCGTACTTACCAGCCACGCAGTTGCGCCTCAAAGTGAGGCTCAGAGGACCCCATATCTGGCTTCCGGCCACCTCAGCAAAGCTGATGTTAATGGTTAGCAGGGCCTCTCCTGTTACCTTCCCGGTGCACGGGAATTTCACCCGGAAAACTGCGGAAGAAAAGGATTACGCTTAATGGCTGACTAAGTTCTGTGCCCACAAAAGAACCAGATCTGTAATCAGACCCTCTTTAGTAAAGAGTAAGACATAACGTGTTGAGGAAAAGGGCCGTTGCGAAGCTAATATCTATGATGCAGATAGCGTTGTAAATGGATTAAATTTATTTCAGATCTTCCTCTTTTTCATAAAACCTTTTAAATCCTTAATCTCGTTTAACTGTGGTCTGGGTTATGTCGTTTCTTAATACTACACGAAAATTCACTTAACCAACGAATCATCCTATCTTCCTATGTTCCGGAGAATATTTTTTAGTAAGCCTTTTCATTCAAGGTTAATGCGATGTGCGGCCCTGCATAGACATGAATAATCAATAGACTCTTGACCTTGCAGATTTGGTGAACTGTAATTTAAAGGACATGTATCAAGGAGATTTTGACCCTCCGTGCTTGAAGACCCAGGAGAGATATCACCGGTTCTTTGGAAACATAATCTGATAGGAAATAGCATCAAGAATTCCTCTGTGTCCAAGTCAAAATAAAGTAAAACTAATGGATTTTAACCCATCGCAGGATTTTAGAGTGGAAATTGATCATCAATGTGTAAAATGGAATACCCATATTAATAATTTGCTAAGGTTGTTAATCAGAGGATTAACGTCGATTATACCAGAAAAAGTAAATCCTCTTAATCTGTCATCCGGTGCCAAAGTCAAAGTTTGGGATGTTTCAGGTCAGTGGGCTAATAATATCAAAACATTCTCTAATTTATGTAATTGATATAAATAATCTGCTTTCTTATGCTCATAAAACCATACAACATGACTAACCAACTTTCTGTGCCCCAATCAAAAGATATATGTAATAATGATGATATTCATGAAACGTGGCCAACGTGAATTTTTCTTTTAAAATTCTCTACGTTTTCTTTCCTCAATGTTTCGTACCAAAGGGGTCACTTTTTTTCCTCTTACACCATTTTCGTGCTTTCAATTGGCCAATAGAGCTTAAAAGGCGGAGGTAGTCTCCTTGCGACATAAATTCCCTTTATGTGACCCTTACCCAGGTTATGAAACGCTTGAGGATAGAAATTATATGAATCTTTACGGAGTAAGGTCTCGTGCCCTCAGTCACTTGCATCGAAGGGTGAAAATAAAACCAACGTACAAGAACAAGAACAGCCTAACAATCCCTTTCTCTCCCCTCCCTCTTTAGAAACATCAAAGTAATAATGAAGCATCAGAATGGTAAAAACTTTAAACTCGCCTATATGGCATTATTGTCATAAACGATGACAGGGAGGACGCCGTCGACAAGTTTTGGTCAGGATGGGAGAAGTTATCTTTGCAATTGTTGACGACCACGAGACATTGATTAATAGATCAGCCAAATAACCAACCTAGCCTCGTTTCCAGACCTTTAACGGCCAAGCGGTTCAGTTACAGTTACACGGTAGGATCTGGGCACGAAATTATAACCACCTTACGACGAGGCTCTACATGAATGAGACTTACAGCTCAAGTGGTGAAGCTTGCGAGATTCGACCTGGTGAACAAAGCGAGCATGCAAGAGGTCTATGAAGGGTCTAGCGTGCCAGAACCCCTACAGGCCTTTCTCAGACCAGTCTCCCGCGTTTGCATTCGGTCGCTGCCTCGAAACCCCAAGGGCTTGCGCCAGTGGTGCAATGCCAACGAGAGCTTGCTCTTAGCCGAATGAATAACATAGTTTGCCTGGCGAGTAAAAGGCGCTCTTTATCTGTTAAAGAAATTAAGAAAATCGATTTGCTTCTTTTTGTAGACAGGATGACAAAATTATGCTTAACTGCGAAACCAGAAGAACAAATAAAACAATTAAAAGAAGATTCATGTCCAACGTTATGGCAGGTAATATTTTTCTTTGACTTTTCCTCGTTATTTTATAGCAAATTCGCTTTAATTTTTTATCTTCTTTATCGTTATTTCTATTACTATCTTTATAAATATCATTTTTTTTTTCATCGTGAGACAAGATACTTGAAACCGGAAATGAATCTATAACATATAATAAAATGTAGCATAGAGGCTTATTGAAACTCGATCAAAATTGTTCCAAGAGAGTATAAAATACCCGCTAAGCTCCACACAATTAAACGGAAACCTTTATTCATAACATCGTTAACACCCTGCAAAGACGTTTTGCTCATCAGTTTTACCAAATTAACTCGGAGCAGGGTTTTGAGATAAGAAATTGAGATAACACATGCATTGGATTTAATCTAAATATAACAAGATGTCCACAATTAAATCGTATCCTTTTCTTGAACAATTTACCGTGTTGTTTACTACGTAATGGTTTTTCACTGGAATTGTTTCCTTCTTAGAAAATTGATCCATTGCGGGAGTCTCTTACCTCAGATTAAGGATCACATAAGTCGTGAGTAGTTCCAAACAAATCGCATGTTTATCAAACAGCTACCTTCACCCCCTCATAACAAAAATGATATTCATTCCTCAACCGATGGAAGCCCAAAACCATGTTCTGAGCCCCTGTAAACATTTCTCGACTCAAAAGACCATCTATAATTAGCCCATGTCCCTCAAATGCTATTACTCTACTCAGACTTGATTGGCAGATGACCAAATCTATTATTTCGTAAGCGGATCGGTAAACAGCTGACGACGAAAACAACGATTGTGATATTTTGAGAAACGTTTTCGACCGTTACAGCTCAAATTAAAAGATATTGAGAAATGTGACTCAAACTTATGAAATCAAGGAAACATGGCGGTTACTCAATCAAACGACATTATCTTGTGTAACAGATATAAAGTAATGTAAATTCAGCCAAAAATCAGCATCTTTCAAATTTTTTTTTCTTATTAATTTTTATGAGACTTTTTCATCTCATAAACTTTATTCACATGGATATGGAGTGACATAATCCATATCACATCGGTGAAATAATGGTATTATATACTTGCAAGCTTGGATTAACACCCAAATAGAATTTACCAGATTCCTTTTTAACTTTTCGCATATTGAAAGCTCATTTTGTGCGTTGATGACTGTGTTGATTTATCGGCATCCACCAAAAATTCCCTTCAAGCTCCCCTAGAGAGTTCGATGATTTCCAGTTGCAAATCTTCACTGAGTTTAGTAGCCAACTGTCTCAAATAGTGTTATATATATATATATATATTTCAAAGTGAAAGTATTCTGTCTCAACAGGCTCCATCATGCACTCACCCCCACCCTTTACGAGAAGAGGTTTCGAACATTAGGCGTATATCTTTGAAGCAAATCACTGAAATTCTTACCTTTGGTTTTTCTGGGTACGAGTCCCGTCAAACGGATGTTAGTCGTGGGATGCCTCATGATGGTTTCGTTGCTCGATTTGAAGTTCAAGGAATACTGAACCTGGAAAAATAAGGTTTTTCGTGTCATACCACCAACAGTTGCTGAACACTTTGCGAGGACGACTTACTAAAAGCTACTAAAACACAACAAATTAATTCTCGGCTGAAGGGGAACGAACTAAATGTAGTGAATTTCATCTAGTACATGAGAGACTGAGAGCATAATCGTAACTTTAAGGGGCTGCCTACCTGTTAAGACGGAAACTTAATTTCTTTTATAGTAACGTATAGAACTAATTCGCCAACCCGAGCTTTTTTCCTGCCGTAAACTTCTGCCTAACTACATTTTAAGAGTCTTGCCTTTCCTTAGAACTTTTACTTACCAATTCAGAGACCAACGAATTTTATCATCGCCATGGAAAATTTCCAGAAACATTTTGATACAGGTCGTCAAATTTTACAATCACTGATCTCATTTTTAACCGATAATTGCTTAACAGCGTCACCAATCTCATTATTTCGTTGATTTACGATTTCAGTTGTTCTCGTCTCGTTATGGTTGGCTGGGCGTGGGAAAATTTTCATTTCTTGAGTTATTTTTGCCTGTCAGATAAGGGGTCAAAAAAAAAACGTAAAAAAAAAGGATTGTGATAAACTTTCACGACTGGGACGAAATAAATACAAAGCTTCTTCTATGCCTCGTTTGCTTTTCTTTGTAATCAAAACGTGTCGAGTTCCATATGGAAACAATTTTTATGTGAGATCGTTTCCCTTTTAATTGCGATTCATTTTATTTTTCATTAATGCAAGAAGCTACAGTTGTCCAGGTCTCTCGAATTTTAGTTTACATCACTTTTTTTATGATGAATTTAGGTAAATTCCAGTTTATATAGTCTCCTTAAGCGTAAACTTTATCTTAACTGAATAAAGCAATTTGAATGATTACCGTAAGAGATACAGAAATTGAAGTACGAGGGAAGATAGTTTTTTTTCTTCGGTATCCACAATCTTTCTCAGTTCTATCCACTCAGGCGTAAAAGTGAAAGTGTTGTGCTTTTTTACCTTTTTAGTGCCATTGAACCGAAATTTGAGGTCTTTGATTCTGTGGTCAATTGGAGGAATCATGCTTGACAATATCGGTGTCTTCAGCACGGGGGCCACAATACCATCTCGGACGAGGTACAAGTTTGTTTTTAAATCTAATGGCATAGAAAGTAAACATTAAACTCTCTAAGTACCAGAGTTATCTTTTCATGGAAATTAGTTCATGCCGGCTTTAAGGCTTTACAATCGCAATTGAAGAAATTTGAAGAAATCGTCGACTGAGAAGGGCACTGTTTTAAGAAGGAAATGAATAGTGATGCGTTTCTCAACTGACGGAAATAAGTAAGGTGAAATTTTTAAATCTAATTCTAAATATTATGTGTCATGCCTTTCATTTAAAATGATATGACAAAATCAATGACAGGATTTCGTGCCTGACACCGCCCCCCCCCTCCCCCCACACCTCCTCCCCTTCCCTTTCTCGGAGGTAAAAATGATGTTAATTTAGATGGATGGCTGTTTCGGTTGTGCTAATATCTTGATACCTTTACATTCTGAAAAGAAAAAAAAAAAAAAGAAGCTTATCATAGGATATCGTTTTACGATCGTCGGGAATCGCTTCATTAAACACAGGGAAAGCCATTCCGCAAGTTTTTATCTTCATTAATAAGCTTTAAAAGTACGCCATTTTGATTGATAACAATTCACTAATGAGAGTCAATACTAGTTTGAAACCAAGGGGTGTTTACATGTAAGCTATACTGTTATGTCTCTTGGCATTATACGAAGTGTTATTCATCACAGCATGTCTTCGAAACAGTTAAGCAAGTAAATAAAAAGGAATCTGCAAGCTACAAATAGGCTTCAAATGTTAATTACTGCGTAGTCTGTAGTTAAAATAACAAGCTACGGGATGAGTAACTGCATTAGGTTCCAAACGTCTTTTTTATTGTTTATGATAGAGTTACTACGGGAAATCCTACGCAAAATCGTTGGCTTGCCAGTTAACTTAAACGTTAAAAAAAAGCCCAAAGCACATGGACGCCAAATCATCAAAAAGAGGGCAAGTATTTAGTAATAAGACGTGGCTTTTTGTAAAATTATTTCTCGCGTTAGATTTCTCTCTTTTCCTTTGGAATGGAATTGAAAAACATGTTAAATGTTTCTCTGGCGTTTGTGCTCAAGGACACCAACATACTCTAGTTTTCACCATTCTTTTTCACGCCAGACAAAACAGGGAGGAGTCAAATAACTTTGTGGTCCAAATTACCTAATGTAATCGATGTCTCCGACGACGACACAGCATGCAAGAATAGAAAAATGCTTGTGGTCTTCTTGCTCAATCAGAGCCGCTTTAAAAAGATATCAATTCTTAATAGACAGCTTTGGCCCTGTTAGGGAATTATTGTCATTATTGCAGGTGACCTTATCCAAATTTTCGGAGTGCATGGAAGAGTTGTTTATTGAGAAAGAATGCTGAAAACTGTCCTCATACACTGTTTATCCGGATGTCTCTGACTGCACGATTAAGCCGTGCAACGAAAATAACCCTGAGATACAAAAAGGCGATAAAAGACCTCATGTTGCTCTGAAGAGCTGACGAAAGTTGTAGATTGCACTCAAAGTGATGGCTTTCATCTAAACTGATAAAACCAACAATAGGGAACGCATGACGCCATCTTCATGGGAGACACTGGGATGGCCATTCCTATATTGAATATTTTCTATCAAAAAGTCTTGATCGGTGTATTTGATCGCAACATTTCCATTCGCAAAAATGCAAAAGCTACCTAAATTTTGTCTCTGGGGTCATGAAATCAATGCCTGGACGTAAATTTTGGGATGAAAAACTATGTAGAAAGTGTAATTATACAAAAGAAAGTCATTCTATTTGCAAGAACTGGGATTTATTTACTTACCATAAAGAAAACGCGATACCTCTTTTGCCTCCAGGAAAACGTTCAGTTTAGCAGAGCAGTTGTAAAGGAAGAGTAAAGAAAACAAGGTGAAGGCTTTGAGAAAGTGGCGTGTTTGTAGCCCGGCCATAGCACTTAGGAGGGGGGTTTGTACTCCTCTGTCTAAGCGTTCGTGATAGTTAGTTGAGCTGTTTAAATCACTGCTGTCACAGCTTTCGCTTATAAAGACAACATCGTTATTAATTACGGTAATTAAAATCTGTAAATGAAACCCAATGACAGATTAGTTAAGCTTGTCATCTAATTTAGCCTCAAAGTAAACAGTTGTTAAAGCAATATCATTAGTAGTGAATAGAGCTGACAAACTTGTAAGCTTCAACTTTCCTACGATGCACAAACGCCTCTGGCGCATATGTCATCTGTGGCGTCTGACTTATTAACCGCGACGTGAGTTTATTTTGAAGATTATTTCTAAGACGATTTTCACTTTTTTTGGGAAAACAATAGGGTGTGGAAGATGAACGACTGGTGGATAAACTGAATCAGGTGATATAGAGGGCCACAGCTGTAAAATTAAGGAAAGCAGTCGTGGACAGTTAACGTGAATTCCTTTTCGAGGCCTCTGTTATTAATTTTGATTCACTAATAGTGAATTTCCGGACCTTCTACATTCCTGCTGATCCTGGCTTTAATTCAAGCTGTTACTCTGCAGGACAAGAATTTTTAGGAACAAAAAAAAAACAACCACAACAACAACGAGTGTTCCCGTGATGCTTTCCTTCCATCCGTTTTCGTAGTCGAGAAGAAAAACAACATTTTGTATAGATGTTTTGGGGTCATAATGGGATGTTACACTGGATGCCGGAACCCTTGTCCCGTGTATTTACACTCAAAGATCATTTAAATAAATGTTATTCATGGTAAAACAAGCCGTTTACAAAAGGGAAACGCTTTCTTTTGTCACTGTAACCAGAAACGATACACGCCGATCTAGATTGTTTTCGACCTCAGTAAAAGAGGACTACTTTTAAGCTTTCCTTCTCAGAAGGTGATTTTAAGACTATCCAATTGACTTCAATATTATACGTATAGAACGATGTCGTTGTTAGCTGGTGATAAAGGCAATCTTTGTTCCATTACCAGAAACCGTTGAAGCTCACTTGCTAACAACTAGTACAGAACTCATCAACTTGGAAGGAGATAACAATTAGTAAAGAACTCGTCTACATGGCTTGAAAGAAAGGTTTTCTTTACAGCACCTTTCAGTAGTTAAGTAACCCTGCCAAGTAGTGACTGATCTTTATTTTGATAAGACGGCCGGGAGTGGCGCCAAACTTTGCGTCGTGTATCAAGGCAAAGCCAGGAAAGCTTACCTTCTGTCTTAGAAAGTATCGTCAAAACAACCAAAGAAGGGTCGAAACCAATTCTAGTAGATATCTTTTACTAATACCTGTACCTGACTTGACACAGACAGGATTATTAACTACAGTGAGCCATAATACAACCGTATGTTACAAAGTTTCATTTGGGTGACGAATTTCTTTTTTTATTTTGAATTATCGTGATAAAGTTCGAAAATATTAACATCCCTACATCCCTGCTGAGAATTTGAATTACTTCAAAGATATTTATGGACTTCTAAGTTGTTGCAACTGATCCGGAAATATGCTTACAGCAAATCACTTTACAAATATCCCATCATATCCTCTGATAAAGTGATCAATCCTTATTTGATTAGGACATAGTTTTAAGCGCATAGTTTTCTTCTTAGCACACTATCATTTGACGGGACAAAACGGAAGCACAAGAATTTTAAAGGTGCTCGAGCAATGGGAGGAACCGTGGAGTGATGACTATCGATAAATTTCGTTAATGATGTTTTAACTCCTAGACAACCCTGTTACGTCCATTATAATCACTTTGGCGATTCAGTCGAGAATTTCTATCAGCGGAATTACCAGTTAAATACTTTTCAATCAATCATGTTCGTCCCAAAAGGATGTTCAATATGTGACGTATCAGGTTGCAACAGCAAAAAAGACAGAAAGCACCACACAAGACTGCATTGGTCACAAAGGACGGTATAAAGTACAGGAAGGTGAATGACCGAATCATATTCTGTTTCAGGGTAAACTGTGACCTTTACAAGTGTAGTAGAGGGCCTCTTTATACTTGCTGGATTAAGGTTTTGCCGTTTTTAATATTCGTCCCGAGGAAATTGTTCTTGCATTGTCTCAGTGTTAAGAGCAACTAATCCGAGTAGTGTATCCTTGCGGGTCTAGGTATAATAATTGCGTTGAATTTTGTTAGGAGACAAACTACAAACAGTAGATTAAACTTGATCTTTACTAATAAAAAGAAAAAGCATTTAAACTCTTGAAATCTAGCAGCATTATTCCCTCGGAACAATTTTTGTTTACGTTCATCGCATGCAATTCGCGTGCTCTCGCTGCCGGTTTCGCATCGACTACAACCAACCACATGTATTAGGACTGGAGATGTTAATATATTACAGATGTGACGGTCCATCTGATAATTCAATCATTTGCTTAGTGATCGCATGCATGGAGGTTCGCCCTTTCCTAGTTGACGGGCGTATTCTGTCGGCGCTGTTTACAGTACGCCAAGCTTATTGTTATGATCTCGTGAGAAGAGGATTTTCACGTATTTTACCAATTTAAAAACAAACAAGAGAAAAACCATTAACCAATTAGCATTCTTAATTGTTTTTGAAATGATTCCGGAAATCTTATTCTACTCTAGAAGAAACAACCTGGTCCACTTGTAGTCTGGCTTTTTTTTCCTCTTACGAGCCTACGAGCGAGGAGGGAAATCAAATGCTTTGTTTACATCTGGAAGGGAAGGGTTCTGTCTCATTCTTACATTTAATCCTCCTAATCTCTTATCAAGTAAAGCTCTAGCTTTTCTCACTCATCTCGCCCAATGACGAAAGAAAAACAAACTCTGAACACCGAAGTGGTGGGTACAAATGAGGGATTGGAGAATCCCAGCCCCCACCCCCTCCCCTCCTCCCGTCCCTTCAGACCTGTGGTGTTTTTCCACTTCTTGTCTGACACCAAAACTTCCGAAACGCCATTTACTACTCAGTGTGAAGTATTTAGAAATCCATTCGTTTAGACATATTTGTCAGCACCCTAAAAAATGTGGGCTGGCTATAGGGAAAGAAAAAAATTCTCGTTTTTGTGAATACAAGTTTTAAGCTCCCCCCACCTATCAAAAATGCTTGGATACACTCCTGCAGTAGAGCAGGACATGAAAGGAAGCTGTTGCTTCTTCTATCCTGAGTGTGATCTCGTTTCTTTCCCCGACTCACTCGCTTGCCCCAATTGATCGAAAGCATGGGAGAAGATTCAATTCTGCTAAAATAACAGTACGTGCAAGCTTGATGCATGCATGCGCATGCTACGTACAATCAGAATTTAAGAACTTACACCTCTATTAATACCCAATTTAATTGTTTTATACGGCGCGTAAAATATTGCTGAATGTATGTATATCATATTGCACGATTCAACAGTACACCGATGCAACGTTAATTCAATCGCAAGTGTTCAAACCAGCCAGCTGATTAGACCATAATCAGGGAAAAAACCTTTTGCCCAATCCAAGGAAGGTTTTGTCTGAGCCAAACGTGGTCGTACCCTCTGAAAAGCGAGGAAAAGAATGATCAGTGACCTTAAAGAACCAGACTTAACGCCTTTTGTCAGCCTGTATAACAGTGAGCCAAGCGGAAGTCACGCAAAAGCGTGAGCCGAATGGGAAGTCCATCACAGCGTGACTGCCCCTTACCGCTTTACGCTTTTCTCATTTTTCCTGAAGTTAACAGAAGAGATTGTTACACAGGCTAGTGAGACAAAGAATTCCCAAGTGCTTGACTGCAGAACTTACTCTTTGGTGGTGGCTTCTCCATATACCAGTACAAGTACCCCTCTCTAGCCCTAGCATTAACTGATGTCCTCAAAAGTTTGGGAGGCAAGGGTCGTGGCTTGTGGTAATCCCCTGGCAAGTTACCGTGTAGCTCTTTGACGAGAATGTCGCTGAAATTTGGCCCACCTATACGCGTTAAGGTCCCGTCAATTTCGTGCCGGAACTTGAGGAGTTTTTCTTCTGACTTCTTGTCTGGTTTAGAAAGAATTGGATCACAGTTTTCTTACCCTTAAACTAAATAATGGACTTTCATCTTTGACTTTGTGCTAATAAATCTTATGTTGTCGCTTGTTTTCCACAAGTTTTATACGTGAGCTAGGCGGAGCACATTGAAATTGCACGTTGAATGAAGCGATTAGGCACATTGCAAGAGATGATAAACTTATTCTCTTGGACCACTGCTACTACCTATGGATGGAGACTTGTCTATCGCAGGTTACTAACAGCATCATTTTCACCAGGTTTCCCTGACAATTTACTGGTACAAGTTTACACTACTGGCCCCGGTTGTTTGAAGGTCGGACAACGCTATCCATTGGATAAACCCCTATAGCGCTGTACGTTTTGCCATCACTTATCCGCTGGATAGCGATTTATCCGTTGGATAGCGTTATCCGCCCTTTATACAACTGGACCCTGGTTGGAGAGGCACTGAAAGGGAAGTGTCCTGCCCAACTGAATCCTGAGTTCAATGGACTAGCTATCAGACCACGTTGTCACCCTCATTTACTCAGAAAGCCCGCCTTGCAACAATTTCAATAGTTCGACGAGTCAAGAACTATTACGTAAATTGTTCATATTTACCTGGATGTTGCTCATGCCGCATTCGATCACCGTGGAACGTCTTCACTTGTCCTCTCGTGTCTCGAATGGAAAATGTAGCAACCTTAGAGCAGAGAGATAAAAAGAACTTAAAAAGTCACGCATTGGTCACCCGATTGCTCTATCGCGAGGCAATTGTTATGAGGCTGACAGTTGTAAGATATTTTAATATCGATTCACCGTGTAGTGTGATCGTCTGGGTAAGAGTAGTCTTGAGAAGGACTGTTGACTGTAGTAGTGACTGACGTTTTGATAACCTGAGCGGATGTCATCATAAGAGTTAAGAGGAGACTGTTTCCAGTCGAGCGTTTTGGAGTACACCTGTAAGACCTGTAAGACCTGTAAGTCCGGTATTGACCCCTAGGGTGTTTCCCAAACCGCCATGGTTGAAATTGAACATAACACTAATTTATTATTTATTATGAAAAAGATATTTCCTATTGGCTCAAAAAGGATCCAAACCCGGAAATTTGCGACGCTATGGAACTGCACTAACAAGAGATCTATTAACCCTTTCACACACAAGATCTCAGTAGGAATTCTCCTGACTGTCTGCCATACAATTCTTGTGATGTTAGTTTGGAGAATTTGGTCTTGGATAAACTAATTATCCCCTTATTGATATCTGTATTTATTCTCATCACTTGTCTGTATGATATTGTACTGATATTGTACTGATATTGTACTGATATTGTCCTGACATTGTACTGATGCTGTACTGATGTTGTAAGGAGAAATTCTGTCTTGGTCACTCATGGGAGTTAAAAGGTTAACTCGGTTGGGACCGTTTCGGTCCCGCCGTGTTAGGCTGATAAATGATACACCTACTATGAGACCCATATAAATAAATACACAATTAATTATATATAACCGAGAGATTTACGAAACGTGACGTTTCAACATAGAAACAGTCCCAAGCCCCCAATATTTCGTTTTCTGTCGTGAGGTAATCAAATTATCAGTATCCAGCTGCTTAGAAACTTTTGCGTGACATTTCTAGAGGATTTTTCAACAGTTCAGTTCGATAGTTCGTCGATCGTTGCAAAATTACGCCGTTTTATCAAAGAGCTATGCAACCTTAATCGGTTGTACGTGAAAACTGGCAGATGAACAGACTATTAGAAACCCGAGCTTGGAAACCACCGCCATTTGCCTAACAACAGATCTTATCGTTGTGTATTACTATCGAGTTCGCGTTAAGGGAAATTAGTTAACTTTAAATAATCTTCTGCTATAATCTAATCTATATTTTTCCAGTCTACCTTATGTTTCATCTTTGCCCAGTGATCTGTGTTCCCAGCTATGAATCTGTGCCTCGCGGGTTCCTTTTGTGCCCAGTGCGACAAACTGTAAACAAACAGAAAGAGTCAGAGTTGCTATCTCTTTTCGTTGTCCATCGTTCAGTCTAAAGTCACTCACTAGGGCAAGCTCCCCGTTTTATCCCGATATAATTGTATATCAGTCATGTTAAGCTTTCGTGGTTACTTGACTAAGCCGGTGACATAATAATTTTAAGGCTCCTTCGACGAGGATTTGTTCATGGCGGTCCGCGTATTGTGTTACAAGGTTAATTTGTTTTGTAATAAGTTAATTGCACTGGGTGACGCAAAAAACACAATAGTTTGTTGGATTAGTGAATCATGTGACTTGAATGATAAAAAGCTCCACTGTTCCTTGGAGACGGAAGAATGTCGTGCAAGGAAAGAAAATCGTTCTTCTTGAGTCTTATTCGCAATTACTTCTCTGACTCAAGATTAAAATTATCATAAGAAATTAAAGGGCATTGAAGAAAAAAAAAAACTCAAGGACTCATGTATTGTCAGTGTTGACACTTCAGGAATACTTCATTACCCTCACCCGGACAAACATACTCGACAATCAATCAATTTGAGGCTTGCAGATCCTGTTTACCTCGTTGAAACGAACTTGTGAAACTCTCTTACTGTTCCATTCTTTTCTTCTGTTCCTAAATTATTCCTGTTCATTTTTGTTTTCAACAGAAGAAAAGTCGAACAAAACAAAATCCAAAAAAATAAACCTATAAAGTGCAACTCCTAATGGCCTTATCTGGCTTTCACTCTTAGCAAAATTGTCAGTATTTTACTCTAAGGATAAACTGTGCTGGGGGAAACTTACCAAACCGGTCATTTGGTGGGGGGGCTTTAAATAATTGAGATGGTATGGCTAGTCTCGATTTCTAGTGACACCTTGGATTCGATAAAAAGGTTTGATGAATTATATGAGGAAAACCAGGAGCTCGACAACAAACGATCATGCGATCTTGTCGTACCCCAATAAACTTGAAGACAATCGAGCTGGGTACGGTGGCATACTTTGTCACGCAACAACAGTTAAGTGTGACGTGAGAAATAAGGCCTATAAGGGGTTCTTCCTGTGTAAGTGAATGCATCTTTTCATGTTCTCCTTGTCAACACTGCTCTCTTTTGTGATGGTTTTTAAATAATTAATACTTTTAGTCCGGGAATTCACGTTCGGTATTTTCCTTTCTCTTCGTTTAAGAAATGCGAAAACGAGGCTAATTAGTTCCCATGGTTACGTGTGGCTTCTCGCGAGGTTTGCACACAACATAAAGTCGCACTGCATTCTTCTCATCGACAGTGGCAAAATTTTCCCGAAGAAATGGAAGTTACAAAGGCTACCATCGGTTCCGATCCGTGGAAAAATGCAAGTATAAGAAACATAAGACTTTCTCAGACAGTTCTCAACCGTAGCGACAAAGCATGTGAGCTGGGACAGCAGTTGGACCCCTTGCCATCGCTAAGAGACACTAGTATACAACAGAGCAATGCCAGAATACATGCCTACGTTCGGGCGACAAGGGCTGTCTTAGTGAAGCTCCGAGAAAGTTTGTTAGACACGAATGAAGAGATAAAATCTCTGTTGAGAGGGAAGGAGGATTTAGAAAAGACTCTGGAGCATATTCGTAAAGATATTATCTTAAACACACGATCTACGATGCAACGGCAAACGAGACCGCCACGAGAAAAGGTAACACGAGGCTGTTATTGCTCTGCAATATATATTTTATTTTCATCCGTGCGCGTTCGCAATCATTAGTTCGAAAATTTCGTTTTGAGATACTAAGGAATGTCATACACTTAAGGAAGATTAAATTGAGCTGTATTGTGATCTGCATAAGTTCAATATATTACTCATTTCCCTAATTGATGTCCTTCTCGTCCCGTTGTTCTGTTGTAAGTAATACTTTGAGATAAGTTAAAGTTGATATTCAACCTAAGTATTGCACTCCGCTGAAAGTTGATAGCTCAACAAAGCGATGTCGTTTTCTTAATGAAATTTTTGAATAGTCAGAAAATTTTTTGTTTCAGACACGATCAGTTGCTAATGAGAGAAGAAAATATCTGGATACCCTTTCCGCTAATGATGACTGTTCAGCCATCATTAAATTTTTTTTTTCAATGTGGACGGATTTTGAAAACAGAAAAATGTGTTTTCGTTCAATCAGCACATTGAGTCGACAATCAAAAGTGTTGAATCTGAAAAATTTGTCTTTGTTGATGAAATGCAGCTGTAACCATGCAAAACAAATCGGTAATGATTATTTATTTACATGTTCATATACACAGAGTTGACACGAGGGTGTCACTGTAACATTTTAAGCATGAGGGGATTGTGTAAATGATACTTTTTTAAACATTTCTTGAACCCAGCAGGTGATAATACCGTGAAAAAATATATTCTGAGAGATGTCAATTGCTTTGTCACAAGGTGTTTAAAAATCATTGTTTACATTGTTGTAGTCAGTAAGATTTTTTAGAGGGATAGCTTTTATGCTGAGGTGACTATCTAAACAGGCAATAACCTAATTATAGACTCAGAAGGGTTGAGTCCTCAGCTTCTAAAAAGAAATTACACTGAATGTGCAGTTATAAGTGTACTTACAATGGAACAAACAAATGTGAATAAGTATTTGTCTTAATTAAAGTTTTTAATTTTTCTCCTTTAATCTTTTTTCTAATCAAATGATAACATTTTTCTGATCATGAAAGGACCTTGATGGAGCAGATGACCTCCTTGGAGCTGAGCGCAAGCATTTACTGAAGCTTAAGCGAATTCTGGAGGCTCAGCTTCGCTCTGTTCAGAAACAGCTTCAAGTGCTTGATGGAGCAAGGAAAAGGCTCACTGCCTCCTTACAAGAGAGGTCAAGGGTACTGGACCTTATATGCCATGCTGTATCTGCAGTCCGTGGTGCTGGCATCAAGGATCAGGCAGAGAAGCCTGTCACACCACCTGTGGAACCACTGGGTCCTTACACTCCTGAATGTGCAAGGGTGATTTCAACAGCAGCAGAGGCACGGCAGAGATCTACTAATTTGCGTAAGGAAGTTGCAGAAGCCATTGAGCAGACAGTTAAGCTACAGAAGGCAGCTCATCAATCTGTGAATGACGGATTGACTCAGAAAGTTGCTGAGACAGTCACCATGAAGGTTGGTTGTGTTAAAAAAAAAAATACATGTACATGAGCAACTGGGGTTAAAATTCATAATTACATAAAAAGTATTCACTGGTTAACAGCCGGCCCTCTTAATCTTAAAAATTGGTTAAATTAGAAAGTGTTTTTCTGTTAGGAAATGAGAATATATCCAGAATCTTGACATGCATATAAGGTTCTTGAATATCTCAACAGCTAGCATTTGCCCAATAACCATATAAACAGACAATAATTAGATGTTATTAACTCTTTGAGCAAAAAGTTTCAATCAGAGAATGCTGCTTAATGTAAAAATTTGAATTGTTAATGGTACAACTTATTATGCCCTTTAACTCCCATAAGTGACCAAGACATAATTTCTCCTCACAATATCAACCAAACAAGTGATGAGAATAAAAAAATATCAATTTGAGGATAATTAATTGATCCAATACTAAATTATCTGAACTAACATTATGAGAATTGAATGGTTGATTGTAAGGAGAATAACCAATTTTATTTGGGAGTTAAAGGGTTAATTTAAGTTAACATACAATTCCAAGAACCTTTACTATTTGTTTAATTTAGGATCTAAAATACTATAGAAACGTTTTGGTTTGTATTTTACCCTCTGGTGACCATAGCTGGCCCAAAATATTTTTGACAACATATTTATCCTTTTTTTGTGACAACAGCAACATCTTTTGGTTGGTGCCGGTGAAACTCAAATGGCCATTCATCGAAGTCAACGCTGGTATGATGCCACAGAAATGGCTCTTGGATATACACTGGTATGTAGATTTAATAATTAAGCTAAACCTTTAAGGAACTAGTGCATTGTGCTTTTAACTAACAACAGCTGGACCACTTATAAAAACACCTAAAAGTATACAGTCATGAACTTCTTTTCTCAGTCCCCATACCATTACTGCAAATTAGCCTTTACTTTTTAGAAATGGTCTGTACCTTATTAATGCTAAGGGTCATGGGCCCACAAGCCTGATCTTATAGTGGTTCCCAATCTCTGGTTTTAAAAGTTGTGGTCATCGACAGTAAAACAAGCAGCCAACACAAGCAAGAAAGTTTCAACAACAACTGAGTTTTGCAAGTTGTTAAAGGAAGATCTACTTTGAAGAGAGGATATATTTTATGGACAAGCCTTGAATTGTTTTATTTAATGTAGTCCAGATATCCAAGTACTTATCGTAAACGGAAATATGAAAATTATAGGAAAGAATTAAGCTAAGCTAACTTCAAACATACATACTAACATTCTAAACATTCCTTTACAAAGACACAAGTTATGCTAAGACCTAAAATCAAATGCACACAAAAACTATGTCTTCAAAAGGATAAATGAGAACTGCTTTAAAACAAACTCTAACACAAACTTCATAGCCAAATGGGTAAATTGGGTAGCATTCTGATGAAACATGAATAATGTAAACCACATGTCACAAGGTTGCAAAAAAGTGCAATGGAAAAACTAGTATGAAACTGGGCAAAACGACCAAAGGCTAAATATTTAGACAGGCATAAAGAAAGGAACATAGGCACTTTCATAATAGTTGGAGTTTAACCAAACTAACTTCAAGATAAGGTGGGCAAAACTTTCTTATGAACACACAACTTATTGTTTTTCCAAGCCAAGACAACTGACAAAAATGCAGTTCTGGGTGAAACTTAAATGATCATGTCCCTAATGGACAAACAATAACATCATTATGGTGCAGTCTAACATAATGCAACATGAATCAAGCTTGTAGTGAATCAATGTCCAGTGATAAAGGCATAGCAGCCATAACACAAAGACATTTTCTGTATGAAACTGATAATCCTTAAAGGACCTCTTGCTTTAACCTTCCTTGTACTACTTCATCTATCTCAAGTTTGTCTCCTCATATTACAGGGACCTGTTGCTTATTCTGACCTTACCACTCGTGAGCGTTTGGACCGTCCAGCAGTGCAAGTCTACCAACGTCATCCTGGTAACCAATTGCCTGAGGCTCGTGAGATTGTTAAGGGAGGAGAGGGTCTGCAGGAGTCTTTGAATGCCACAGCTCGCAATGTTGGTCTCTTGAGACTTACCAAAAAGAGAGTTGATGATGATGCAAGGGATAAACACCGTGCTGCCTTGATTGATGCTAGTGTTACCCGTATGCGTAGACGTTTAGGAAATCACCGTTGGGTGATCAATGGTGTAGGGTGTTAACTTCTGGTGGCTAAATTTAGTCTCTGTTTATAAACTTTGTAGTTTTGATTGACATCAAGTTTTAAATGGATAGCAATCCAAAAATTTCCTGATACAACTTTTTTTTTTCTTATTCATTTTACAATGGAAAGCCCTTTTTCACTGCAAGAATGATATAAAGTAGTTCAATTGGTTTCATTTTTGAAAAATATACGTAGGTAATATATTTGAGGAAGAATTCATTTGAAATTTATCTTGAAAATTGGCACTCAGTGTTTGGTTGCACTATTAATGAACTGAATGGGATGTTACTGGATTTATTATGGGCACAGTAATAGGCATGGAAATGAGACCAAAGGAAATAAATATGTTTCATTTAAGGCTTGATTTGTAAATAAAATACATTGAGTGTCTCTAAGATTGGTTATTTATGATGATGGTTGGCAAAATACCACATTTCAGATAAGTTTATTCTAATTCACTGCAATAGTGTTAATATATGACATATGGCTCATTTCCAGTTGACATCTCTTTGATTTAAAATGGTGGCAATTCATCCAGCTGTAGATAGTCTTAAAACTTGATATGTCTCAACAACTCTACCTTTTGTTTTTCCATGTGTGATAAGAAAATGATAGTGATGAGAGTGAAACTGTGTCAATAAAATTGTTCTAAATGAGTTTTATTGTTAGTGAGTTGCCTGCACTTTGTTATTTTGGGGAAAAATGTGTCCACTCAAAGTCAACCCCATTATGTGGCTGAGTACAAATTATCAGAGGGAAATATTCACTAGAAATTGCAGGAGGCCTTTGACAATGGTAAGCAAAATGAAAAAGAAATGAAGCTGTTTTTTTTAAACTGATGATGACAGGGTAAAGAAGATAATACAGGGTCATGAGGTGATAGAAACTTTACCTTTCAGCCTTGGGTGTACCTCATGAATGAATGCATTTAACAAGTGAGATTATTTTAAGCTCAACATTGACAAAAAACAAAGCGGTTTTAATTTTCAACATGAAACTGAGGACTAAGTAAGAAGCTATTGTTTGGACCTCAAATTTAGCCTTTTAATTAAATTTGGAGTGATTCTACAGACAGGCTACACATTTTGACCCATGGCACACCAAGAAAAAACGTTTTCCTTCTAAGAGAAATTTTTTCCATGCCAAACATGGAAACAAGATCCTTATATTGGCACTCTTATCTTGGATGGTCACTCAGCAAAGCACCATGGTAAAAAGCACCATGATAAACAGAGCTCAGAAACGGGAGAAATACTAATATTTCACCATTACCTTAGTACTGAAAAGAGATTCTGTACAATGAGCCTTATTCCAAACCAATTTTTTCCCCCTGGGTCGAAGTGGGCGACACATCCTCTTAATGACTGGGCGTGTACTGCTGGATTCTGGGACCCTTTTGCCTTCCCAGACCATGCCGGAAAACATCATCATGTGAACATTGTTTAAATTGAATTCCAATTCTTTGCGCCTAGGGTTATACAAAATATACATTAGAGAATAGAAAGAACTTATAACGAGATCTTGGCGGTGAAAGGGTCAAATCCGGACTGATAACCAATGGAAAAGTTCGATAATATTCAGACTCAGAAAATATCATGATTTCGAGCATTCGTTAAGGAAAAGAGCACTAACTCCAGTTCGGTCGGAACTCACTCTTCCGTTCAATTCGTTGGCAGCTGCTTAGTCTTGATATAGCATTTTTGCAATTGAGGACGAAGTTCCAGAATCTTTTGTTTCGTGTCGTGCGAAATGTAACACTGGAACACAAATAGCTCTCTTAGTCTATCACACCTCGTGACAAGATACAACAACGCCTTTTCGAGTTCCTCGCTACTTGTCGTACTAATCGACAACATTTCCAAAGTTTCACTGTAGTTCATGGCAGCAAAATAAACTTGGTCAATGACTTGGGACATGACTTCCAGGCGAAGGTTTTTCACCGGAACTTCGGGCTTCAAAATCATATCAACCTTGTACATCGGACAGGAAGTGTCGAAAGCTAGCGTGACACGCAAGTTAGGAATCTTCCTCCTAACGACTTCCCACGTTTCCGATGTTATGTCTTTTCCAAATTTTTCCTCTCGTCTACAGTCGATAGAGAGGTGATTGAGGGGAGTCCGGTTCTCTTCAGCGAGAGACAACAATATCTCCTCTGTCACGCTAGTATGATGAAGCGCGAGGGACTTCATCTTCCGGCACATGTCAAGCACATTTTCTATGCAACCGGAAGTGACTTTGCAAACAAGGGCCGCGTTTTGAATATTCAGTGACTCTAAGTCGCGATTATTTTCCACCAAGCAGTTAATTAAATTGTCGCCATAGGCGATCGGAAGTTTGCTTAGATCCACTAACTTCAACGTCGAGAGCACTTCAACATCCTCGTTGGGTTTGTCGAACAGAACTCGTAAACACTCGATAAATTCCTGTCCTGCGTAGAACAAAGGATTCTCTCCGAGAAACTTGACAGTAAACCTTTCAAGCCTTCGCTCTTTTATACCGCTTAACATAAGGATAAGCGTGCAAGCACTTTCTCTGTTGATTTTATCTTCTTGATTACAATGAATCTCTACGGTTCTTAGATAATGACCGTGGTTCTCCAGGCATTGTGCGTACTTGAACTCTTTTGAATCGACGAATTTGAAATGGAATGTATGCCATAACACCGGAGAACCGAAACATTCACGCCACTGTTTACACGCGAGCGAAGCTGTTAACCTGTCAGAAAGTCCCAGAAAAGACAAGATCCCCACTATTATGTGATCGGGAAGATTTTCCCATTTCTTTTCATCCATTGATCAAACTCAGGCAACAAACAGCTGAATCGCCTGATATCTGTGGCGTTGTTGTTTGATCAAATATGGAAATTTGCAGAGCGTTATAAATATTCAAGTATGCCGTGACCTCCACAGGGTACCCAGTAACTAAGAAACGTGTTAATTTATCCATCACGAAGTGAAGGACAAACAATGGCGAATAATAAGTACACAATGCCAAAATATGACCAGAATAATTTGAATTTTTAATCTTTTATTCATGCAGCTTAAAATCCCGCCTAATAATTCTCAGTCGAGAGATCTCTGACGTGGGGACAGAGCAGCGAATGAAGTGGGGTAACCTCAGTGACAAGATTCGGTCCTCAGGGGGGCACGTCCCTTAAAATTTAGGAACCTTGATGTACTTCAAACCATAAATCTTAAGAGTAATAGAGCCCGTCTTCACTCCTGAGCTAGTGTATTCTGTTTCGTTTCACGGCAATTTCAATTCTAAAATTTCAAGGCTTTGTGAGAATATTAATGTCTTAATCTTGAGATGAACAACAGAAAAACAGAGTTTTTAGGATCGTTAGCTACCGAAACTTTGGCGCGTTATTCAGCATCAACCCGAGTTTTCAGTCAAATCCGTTCCCACGGGGTTTTCCAAAAGATCGCTTTGTAGATCACACTGCGAAAACCTTGAATAAAACCTGAAAAAAATTTACGAGACGCAGGATTTTTCCGGCAAATTCCCGCGATATGGCCAAGTGCGAAGTTTTGCCTCCATTTATTGTTTATGCAATAATGTACATAGGCTTTCTCCTAGTCTGAATACTTACACCTCTTCCTTGACTAAAAATATGAAATATCAAAGGGGAAACTCTACGAAGCCAATAAGTCCTCCAAGTACTTTGTACATTTTTTTAGGGTGCAAAACCCACCGTTTATAAGGTTTCTCACTAAATCAGTACAATAAAACATTTCCAGTCCGAAAATATTGATTAAAAAAAAACCTATAAAAAGTTTACGTTACATTTTCCCGATACGATGATACAAAATCATTGAACAACCCAATGGGCACGTGACTTGCGCAGCATTTGTTTCTTCTTCAGAAACAAAAAAGGATCCCAAGGTTTCAATTACATAACCAGTAAAAAGTGTGCGGATGAACATTTTTTTTGGTTCTCGTACGCATTTAAAAACCGTTAAACCGATCCTTTATAAAGAAACATCTTTATCGAGTTCCAATACTAAGTAAGATTGATGTCGCATCGCATCTTTTTCTACTTGACCATTGAGTTTATCGACAAGTTTTTGCAGAAGGACTTTCTTGCGCTGAAGCTTCTCTTGAGAACGTGATGCTGACTTGAGCTTTCCCTCCAGATTCAGATTTTGTTGTGTAAGATCGTTGTTTTCACCGTACAATCTGTGGATTATTTTCTCGCATGTTTTCAGCTGATTATCTGCTGTTTCCATCTACAGAAAAACAGATTAAAAATACTTCATGTAAACGTGTCGACTACTGGAAAGGGCTCTTCTTACAACAAAGGCAACTATAGCGATTAGAACCACTATAACGATCCCGATCACGACAACGATAACTATAACTCATACTCAGTTACTCTCCGATTTTTTTTTTTTATAACAAAGGTCATGATAAGATTATGGGTAGTCTGTGATCTGTAAATAAATGGATCTTTGTTTTCCCACCTGCGCCTTTAATTGAGTTGCATACTCCCGAGGAACAGTTCCATCAATTTTAGAAGAATATCTTTCTTTATCCAGCTTCACAGAGGCAGGGGTCACGAATTCTTTAGTGTTTTTGTAATCAAACGCCGTCTGAGGAAAAAGGTACCATAAAAACATCTATAAACTTAAGGTTAAACGTGTACAAAATAGAGGTGTGCGTGACATACGTCCCTGTGGAATGTGTGACATTTGTGGACACGGACTGGACGGACGGACTGGAGGTGAGCTTAGTACCAGGATCACTCTGTCGTAAGCAGCCCGGGAACTTACGAAATTTGTTGCACGTTGGCTGCAACATGGCGGCCGAAAGAAACCTAGCGGTGAAGGATTTTTTTCAATGTTTATGGCAAAGGACGGTCCCATTCGTTTATTCTGAGACAGAACTTTTCTCGAAACCTCAAAATATCTTATGTATGAGAAAGGAGGCTGAATGGAATTCAAGAAGGAAGAGCATCTTTAGCACGATAACAAGGTGAATTGCTCCGATGTTTGTGTGTTGACTGAAAATATCCTTGGTCCATTTTATTCGCTTATTGAATAATTTAGATTCAGAAATCTCTTCTGAAAGATATGTACCTTCTTTACCTCAATGAGAAGCTTTTTTCTTTGGTGAGAAGTTACATGTGCATTTTTTGACACCATATTGTGACCAGAAATCTTACAATGTGTCATTCTTATCGTGCAAATGAAAGTTCTATTGTTATTGATACTTTCGATATTTGTTAGAGTACTTGGAATCAATTTTAATTTTAACTTATTTCATAGGAATGGGAGGCAGGGAAAGCATTAGGAATAGAAGAATGAGAATTCTCAGTAGAAATGTTTCTTTGATACTCACAAAAATAATATCAAATTCCTTCGCATAATAAAGTGAAATTTGTTGAAGCTTCCTTTATACTGCGGCTAAAGCTTAGCACAATTTCAAAGCATGAAGCACCCTTAGATATTGCTAGTGTTTTGTTCTCCATGGGATATATGTCTATTTGCAGTTTCTACAACATTTTACTCGTTTTTCCTCTCTAGTTCTCTCTTCAAAGCAACCATTTCACAAGCTGGTGGTCTTATCCAGATCTTATCACAATGACATTATGGGGTGGGCTTAGTGTTTTTGTGATCAAGAGGTGTAAAGAGATTTCCCACACCCCCCCCCCTCCCCCTTCCCCCCAAAAAAACTCTTACAGCCTGCAGTTAGCTTTTAAAGCTTCCCCACAATGCAAATTAATCAAAAAGAAAATCCCATACTGTCTAACCCTGAAAACTTTCATAAAACTCATGAATTTTTGAACCCAAACAAATCCCCTGCACCTCCCAAGATCATTTTTACAGCTTGTAGTGAGTTTTAAAAGCATCCATACAATGCAAATTTAGAAAAAAATCCCATACTTTCTAACCCTCAAATCTTTGATAAAACTTGTGAATTTTGAACCCAAAAAAAATCCTCTTCACCTCTCAAGATCATTTTTACTTCTTAGTGAGGCAGTGTCCATAACTTGATTCTGGACTCTGTGAATTTATGGTCCAATAAGCAAGAACCATTGACATAAGATGCAACATGCCTGATTTTTCAATAAGTAGCCTCATTAATTAAATGATATTATCTGAACTGTAACTTAACTTCGAAAGTGTATGCTGAAATTTTGATACCTTTTGTTGTAGGTTTGAAATTTGCCTTTCAATTTCTTCCATAATTTCCTTGCTGCTATGTTCACCAGTCATGAGGAAATAGGAGAGCCTCTGATAAAACACCTGGAGAGTGTCATCTTGTCTGTCACTTTGGAAACCATGAAATGACTGGTTCTGTGGCAAGATGGATTTTTTTAAAGGTGAATGTTTATATATACATTCTTAAAAGTATTCATAATATGTTATAACTGGTGTCAGGTGGCTAATTAAAAACAGGGCTGGGTCCTAGCAGAAAGCAGGTGCCACAGACAACCAACCTTTTTTTCATGGGCAACTTGTCTAACTTTACTCTTATGAGAGCTTCTAAGAGTTGGGACCTCAAACTTTTGGTAAAATAGCCCTCAGACACTTAGGAATTTCTCTGACAGTACAGCATTGGAAAAACAAATTTTTGTTATTTGATCATAAAATCCAAAGTTAATATTTGTAAGAAGTTGGAAAAATTGATTATGGTGTCATAGAAAAGCATATTTTAATTCAATCTCTATTAGACTATTTTTGCATTGATTTAATGATTACAAATGCTTTCTTATTCATAGCCAAGCTCTATTAGAGACTTCATGAATATTTTTGCATCATTTTATGGACTTTAAAATACTTTCCCATTTTCAATCCTGAAATATGTGACTGTGTTTGCTTCCATATAAGAGATTTTTTCTGCCAGGATTTTGAATTTGGCCTTCCATTAAAACAGAACCAACAACAGGTGTTAGTTAACGAAGGTCTTCCTATAGGATTTGAATGTACAAAACTATATTGAATCCTGCTAAATGTGAAGATTAGTAATCAAGATTGTTCTAAGTGTACCTTTTCGCTCAAAGTGCTCATTTCCCGTCGGTGGGTTATTTCCTGAAGCTCCAGCTTTTGTTTCATGTTTTCAAGCTGCCACTCCAGTAGGCTTACTTTCTGTTCTAATTCAAGCTTTTGCTGTTGTAGTTGTCGAATTTGATCCTTATATTCTTGAATTAAAATATCTTTCTCATCCTAAACATCGAAAAGAGAGAAATAATTAATTATTGCAAATGTTTTCAGAGGACTAAGGTTTCTATTTATTAAGCAGCTTTTTTACAGTTCTATATTAATTAAGAGCAAATTTTGTCTCTTTTTTTAAGCTCATGGGAATAGTAACTTGTTTTCATTCATCACGTGTAAAACTTCTGTGCACGTGAATTGAAGTGCCCAAATTGTGTGCAACTGCAAGATTGATTCTTGGAAGTTTTCAATTGCATAATTTTCAGAATATTAAATCTTGAAACTACTTAGGATATTCAGTGTAGTTTGTTCAAATATATAAACGTGTTAAGATTTTGTCTTGTAAACTTTGTCACCACCGGTAAAGACTGTGTGAATTTGTAATGCATTAAAACAAAATAGGGATTTACGAATGAGGCATGCACTGGTTCCTGGTCAAATGTATAATTTGGAGTGTTAAGGAGGTTTGCCTTTCCGGAAAATCCGGAGGAAAATCCTACATCTAAGACGAGGACCATCAACTGTGTCAACTGTGGGCCGATCCGTGTACCCCTAACATGATACTCTTATTCATTTGTTAGTAATCAATGACCGTTACCTCGGTCATAGATCTTGCGGTGTTGCAGTCCTGATCAGTGTCAACTCCAACAGCATGGCCTTTTGTCAGCTTTACTTCCAAATCAACGGTAGCGTATTCCCGGTGCACTGTTTCTAGAACAGTCCTTCTGTTTTCCAGACTCGTCACTTCTGCATGCAGTCTTGTGAGCTGTATTCTCATGTCGTAGATTTGGCTTTCTAACTCGTTCCTCTCCCGTCTCAATGAGACCACGGTGTTGTCTTCCTTGGTGGAGTCTTCGTGGAGTGTAGAACTGTTTTGGTTTGTCGAGAGAGTCTCAGATGAAAGACCGCGTTGTTGGTGATTGATGTGCAAATATGAATTATTGATGGAGGTATCGGAATTATTATAAGTCATCTGATAACTATCTGATGATGAGAATGGAGTTGTTTGATATGATACATGCTGTTGTGAAGTATGGTAGTTTTGTGAATTGTCAACCTCACTTTTATCCAATTGGCGATCGCTTGTGAAAGCCACCTCTACTTCCGTTCGATCTGGTGCGTTTCTTAGTTCTTGTCTCTCGGATCTTGAATACAGCCCATCCATTTCAAGACTCTGTTTTTTAATTTCCAAATCGTAAATATACATCTCCATGTCTGATTTCTGCTGTCGAAGATTCAGCAAATCGTCTTCTTCGTTGCTTTTTAGGGTTTGGATCTTTGAAATTTCTGACTGCAGATCTTGTTTTTGTTTCAGCCCGTCTTTTAGTTCTTCCTGTAAATGATAAAAAAAAGGTCAATAGGCTTATCAACCTTTGCCTTAAGCAAAAACCCGACTCTTTAAAAAAGAACACGATATAGGTTGCTTGAGCCGTTGTCACATTTTTCAAACGTGTATTTAGCACTTTTTCACCTCTGCGTGAGTGTCGAGTGCCAAATATTGGAAAATACGCAGAGGGGCGTAGCTTGGTTATGCTTACTCGTTTGGTCTCTGTTAGCACAACGGAGAGAGAGTTCTTTTAGATTTGTCAGATCTGACGAATCAAAAGCATCCAAAAACATTGCATCATTAGTCCGTAATAATTGAGGAAATATCGCCAAATTCCCATCCCACTCCTTACAAATTGAAATTTAAACAAACAGAAAGGTAAACAAGAAATACAAGCACCCTTTATGTTTCTCACCTGTGTGGTAGAAACGTCGTTAGTCCTTGATCCCAAATACCCCTCTTTATCATGCGTTTCATGCTCTGGCCTGTACTCTTGTTCTTGTTCTTTAGACGCCGCCCTTAACACGGACAACTGAACCTCAATTTCGGACTTTTCTCTGCGAAGTTGTTGCATCTCTCTTTCCTCTTGATCTCTTGTCGCTTTGATCTTTATTATTTCTGCTTGCAAATCTTCTTTTCGCCTCGCCAAAGTTTCCAGATTGTTAGTGATGTCTTGGACATTTGTTTGCAGTCCATTTGTTGCTATGGCTTTTTTCCTCCAAGCCTCATCGCCCACTGAAATATTCGTCTCAAGGTGCCGTTGCTGGCTTTGTAAACTAAAAACGTCTCTCTCCAATTCAGCCTTTTCTCTGCGTAGCTTATCAACCTCGTTCTCATCTTTGTCTCGCTCATCTTTAATCACAGAGCATTCAGCTCCCAGCCGTGTGATTTGGCTTTCTAGTGCTGTGATCTGCAGCTCCAGATCCGTTCTCTCTTTTCGTAAATAATCGACGTCATTCTCTCTTTGTCTAAAAGCTTCTTGCACGACAATGATGTCAGCTTCCACTTCGGCCTTGTTTCTCCTCAGAAGAGTTATCTCCTTCTCCAGCTCTTTGCGAATCTTAGTTAGTTCTAGAACTTCTTTTTCTTCAGTTTGCAGGGCTTCTTCAGAGAAGTGAACATTCTTTGTGACTATTTCTGATTGAAGCTGCACGAGTTGCATTTTCAAGTCATCCCTTTCTTGTTGCAGGTCAGTAATCTGTTGATCTGTGTTGTTGTCTTCCTGAGTTCTATCAGTCTTGAGTCGAGGGATCCCAGAAAGCAACTTTCTTTTCCCATCTACCTCTCGTTTGTCTCTCTGATGAACGTCAATCGTTTTTTGAATCGTTTGTTTCTTGTGGTTCAGTGCTTGGATTTCCAGCTCCATCTTCGCCTTGTGATCCTTTAGCTCGTTCAATTTCCCTTCCAAACTTGTCTCTTGTATGTGATACTGAGAAACCGCACTTTCTAGTTTAAGTTGTTCTTTCTTTAAGGAGGTTATCACCCTTTCCAAGTCGTCTTTTTGTCTCTGCAACACCCAAATGTCCTCTTTGCCATCTTCTTGTAAAGGGCTTTCGTTGGCTTGATGTAGTACATTTCTTCGGCACTCGAGTTGTACTCTTAAATCCCTCTCAAGGTCAGACTTTTCTTGGCTTAATCTTCGTATGGCGCTTTCTAAGTCCTTTTGTTGCTTTAGCAAGTCAGACACTTTCGTTTGCAATTTATCAGCGTCCCTATCAAGATCAGAACCGTGATCGCCATTATTTAAAATAAAGCTGTCTTGTGATTGGAAGAGGGTCTCTCTCGTAGCGCTCGGCGTTATTTTGTCTTGCGTGACGTGATCGCGATGCGTGGTACGGGATCTCTCTCGTTGATCGTTGAACTGTCTGTGAACCTCAATCTCCATCGTCGTGTTATTCCGTTTTAGGATAGAGATCTCATGTTCAAGTTCTGCCTTTTCTCTTTTTATAATAGACATGGTGTCTTCAACTTCCCCTTGCTTTCTCTTTAGATTGGTGATAAGGTCTTCAAGATCTGCTTTGTCTCTCTTCAGTGATCCCATTTGACTGTCAGATTCAGCTTTGTCTCGTTTCAAAGCAGAGATTTCATCTTCAACGTCCAACTTTTTGCGCCTCAGTGTTGCAATTTCATCTTCTAGTTCTTCATTTTTTCGCTGTATGGATGATAGTCGACTCTCAAGATCATACTTCTCTCTTTGCAAAGAGCTCACCTCGCCTTCCTTTCTTCTCAAACTCTCCTCTAAAGATGCCATTCCGCTTTCATTGCTTCCGAATTTAACGTCAAAAAGCTCCGTTGAGTTAGACAATCGCCGCTTTAAGCTGGCTATCTCGTCTTGGAGATCATTCTTTTCACGTCTCATCGCTGACAGACTCAGTTCGTGTTGCTGATTCTCGTACTTTATAGCTGCCAGTTCATTGTCCTTTTCACGGATTATTTCCTTCAGTTTGGCGCCACTGTCCCACCCCTCTGCGTTCGAAATCCGTCCATCGTTCATATCCGTCAGACGTATCTCCTTGCTTCTTAGATTTTCCTCGAGCCTTGCACGGTCTCGTATCAACACATCTCGCTCCTGGGTCAGTGCCGACATCTGTCGCTCAAAATCATCGCACTTAGCTTTAAGTAAGAGTGCATCTCTCTCGTGCTGTTGGAAGATATCGCCTTGAGTCGATTTTTCCAGCATCAACTTCTGCGATAACTCATTTTCAATTCGAATGCGCACCTCTTCCCTTTCGATGGTAATGTTTCGTCTCATGTCTTCCCTCTCCATCTCCAACTGCCTTCGAAGTTCTTCCCGCCTCTCGGCGTATGTGAGTTCCATCTGCGCATTCTCTTGTTTCAGAAGCGCGATTTCCTCGCCCATTTCTTGAATTGTTTCCTCTAATTCTCCCTTTTCTCTGACAAGTCCAAGTTGGTATCTCTCTTCGAGTTTCAGTTTCAAAGCTCGTTTTTCTTCAGAGTACCTCTGCTCCATTTCCGATATTTCCTCTTCAAACCTTTCTTCAAGCTTTCGTCGTTCTTCTTTACCCTTCTTCTCCATTTCTTTTCTTTCTTTTTCCATGATTTCCAAGTCTTCCTTCAGCTTTACGTTGATATTTTTGAGAAGTGAAGTTTCATTTTCAAGACGCATCACAAACTCTGCCTCGAAATTAGCCTTTAAGGAGCTTCTCTGCTCTAAAAAAGCCTGCTCCATTTCTTTTATCTCTCTTTCGAACTTGGTCATTATTATGTCTTTTTCTTGATTCAAATTATCGTTTAGCTCCTTCAGCTGTAACGTTAACTTCGAAATATCCATCTGCAAGTCAGAAATGTTTTCTTCGTATTTCTTTCTTTGTTTCTCCAGCTCACTACCATGCTTTTCGTCCAATTTTCGTCGCGTATCTTGAAGCATCTGCAAGTACTTTTTCTCGATGTCGTTTTTATCCCTTTCCGAATTCATTTCCCATTTCTCCTTCTCGTGACGGAGGTGGTTTTCAGCTTCTCTCTTCTGCCAATGTAGCTCAGAAACAGTTGTCTTCATCTCGGCTATATTTGCCTCGTACTTCATTCTTTCTTGTTCTAACCGGCGTTGATATTCCTCCTCCATTTTTCGCTTAATCTCGCGTTTTTCTAAGTGGAAGGTCCTCTCAAGTGACTCCCTTTCTCTCTCATATTTATCCTCCAAGTCTAGTTCTGGATGCATCTGGCTGGTCAAAGGACCATTATTTATTCGTAGATATACCTCCGCGATTTCGCGTATTAAATTGGAATCCACATCATAAATATCATGGCCCCCATTAGAAACTGGTTGAAAGCTTCCCAACCGCTGTGCGCCCGCTAAGCTCTCCGCGCCTGAAAAAGAGCGAATTTGACCGGTGTCGTGAGAAACTGTATCCGAAACGGCGAAAGCGACACCATTCGCTGTGGATTCTGTTATTCTTGAAGTTTCTATCATTTGGTCCTTGTCCAATTCCAGCTGATGCAGAAGTTGTTTTCTTTCCAGATCAAAGCTCTTTTTCATCCGACGTATTTCCTCTTCATGGCTTTGGGCCAAAATGTCTTTCTCAATAATAAATCCTCTCACTATGTCTTCTATTTCGTGTCGATAATTCTCTTGCGCGCGTGTTTCAAGGCTACCAGTTGTCGTTTCTAGTTCAACTTCCAAATTTTCTACACTCTGTTGTGAACTCTCCATCGTGTTTGTCTTTACCCCATATCGTCTACGCAAAAATGAGAAAATATATTTTAGATATTCAGTGGCATCTACGTACCACTGCAATGATAAATGTGTCGCGTTCCATGCAGAATTTTAATCAGACCTGTAAAATATAATTATGTCAACTGTGCAAACTCCAAAAAACCATATTTGGGAGAATGCTATTGTTTTTTTGACGTTGTTTTATCCCCGCTTATTATTCATATACTTGTACCGCTCTGTGCTTATGGAAATTTATTTCACATTTCGGCGTTTGTATATCATTGTTAAGAAGCTACTTGGTTACCATGGAAACATTAATTAGTAATTTAAAGCACCCTTTTGACACAGAGCCAAATTAGAAAAATTTTCATGACTTATGTTGATACCCGCTCTTAAGGTTTTACCTGCTCCATGAAACAATATTGTAAGAGACATTTTTATAATTTGTCATAGTCTTGATACAATTTTTTTTTACTCTCCACGCCGCTGATTTGACATGCTTTCTCGTTTATTTGCCCATAATTTCACATCTTGGTGTTAAAATTTAGAACTTTTAATCAATTTTTCCCCATAATTCTTTGAAATTACGCGAAGTCCACACACCAAGATTAATTGAAACGATTTTGCGTTCATCGTTTTTGCCTTGTAGCTGAAGGTTTTCAAAAAATTGAATAATTACTATTTTCAATTATCTAAGATGACATGACAATTAAACAGCTTATCAATCAAAGCGTGATTCTAAAAACAAAATGAGCACTGATAATAGGGCTGAGTTCTGAGTTTTTTTCTCACGTGGATGATAAAATTCACAAGAATAAAGAAGATGAGAGTTGGTCGTGTTCCAATCTGAAATAGTGATCTGCAAAGGTCTTTCATATAAATTGGCATACTTTTGTTGCGGTAGGAGTCCACCAGCATCAGTTTAAGATCACATTAAGACCTTTCCGGGGCCATAGGGATATTTGAACAGATTCCTAAAAAAATGTGAGTCATTGAAATTATTTAATAAAAGTTTGGAGAACATTTGAATTTTAATTGTCAGCCATATTGGATAAATGAACAGATATTGTGATTTTTAAACCAGGAAGATATTTTCTGTGCAGCGATCGGTAGATATTTACTGATTTTTTTTTAGACAAGAAGTCACGATAAAGACCTTCGCACTTAGGACGTCATATGGTGTTTTTTTTTATCGTTCATGTTAAAAAGACACATCTGTAGACACCAGGGATCGATAAACTGGAAGGAAGATCTCCATAAACGAAAAGGTGAGAATGTTTTAACAGAGGACAGATTTTTTCCTCGTCACTAATTGTTTTTCGGAGATTGTTGTCGCTTGAGCTCAGCACTACTTTGCTGAGAATGGTCTGAAATCATCAGGGTGTGCATCAAATCACGGAAGAGGTTTGTTAGAACTCCGAAAGCCGTATAACTCTTCCAGTAAAATTCAAATTTTTTTTCGACATTAATATCAAGAAGTATAACGAAGACGTTTAATGAGCGAACTTCTCGACTCTGTGACATAAATTCAGTTTTCTGCTTATGCTAATTATGATTGGACGCCTGTATATTGCAGGTACGCCCGCAGTATTTTGTATGGTTTTCCAGACTTTGCACGGCTATAACATCTATGGGAAGAGGGTAGGGTGAAGGCTGAAATCTTGCTCTAGCCAAAAGGAGTCTTACTAGGGGTTAAGTTATGGCTTTGGGACAGCTGTTACTGTCGTATAAGTTTTGTTATTACATCCGTTTATAGGGGAAGCGCGGGATCATCTCCTTACTTTACTCCAAATTTTTAGTGACAGCAACCTCAAGAAAATATTAAACTTCGGACGAAAAATATAAATTCTCTCCTAAAAATGATAATATTCCATGAGCCATAAACAGATATACCGAAAGGGCAAGATCATACCGAGCTGAGTACAATTCTATAGTTTCAAGATGTCATTAGACCGTCGCTGAAGTTTGGAATTTTATATATCAGTTACATACACAAACGTCAGTTGAGCAAACGAACCTGATGCAATGTGCCTTTTGTCAGATAAACGACATCAAAACTAAGTACTACTCTTAATATGGTTTGATGTGGCTAGCGAAAAGCTGTTATAGGGGCCCGAACTGGTAGTTTTTTCTTCGTCTAGTAGTGTTTACATCGTTTATTGTTTTAAGTATCTTCTCATGATGATTTATCTGTGTTGTGTCTCTGATGGTTCGCTTGTGCGGTTTAATTGGTTTCAAACAGAAGGCACCATGCATTGGCGTTACAGTCGACCACAGCGTCTGTTTATTATTTGGGGCCATTTTACTCTCCAACAAGGAATAGGAATCACTCTCAAATCGGGAAATTTGAACATTTGTCATTCTATCGTTATTTTCGTAGGGTAATGACGTTGATCGAGTGAAATTATGGAAGACTTGATTCGGCAAGAGAGGAGATTTTTGTGTCATAAGATGTATCTGTAGTCCTATGACAAATTCACTTTTCACAGTGTTTTACGGTTTCTTTTGCTGTTTCATATTCACAATATTTTCGTCAAAAAGCACAACTTTGTGATGCAGTTGCTTTTAACCGAAAAAAAATGAGTCTTTCACTTTTGTATGCGTCTGTCCTGAGTTGTAAGATTCATTATCTAGATCATGTGTATGCGTCCAGTAAGACAGAATATGAATTTTCCACCGTGGTGGCAGTTAAAAAAAAGACAACGTCCTTTTCACTCACAGGAATGTGAAAATTGAAAAATAATAACAATGCTGTAATGCTATCAAAAGCAGTAAGAACGGGTGAAGAAAAATCGTTCGGCAACTTCAGTAAAATGCAAAAAAAGGATGTTGTTATCCTTTACTTACTTGTCTTGCTGCAAGTCCAACTTGTTTTGTTAATAACGATTCTTCCACGACAATTCAAAACAGTAAAGCCATTTTAAAATGTAAAACCGAAGGGCACATCCTTTTCTATTTTCTGTTCGATATTTCGTTTATTGACCGATAAGTTGGGAAATATCTGTGAATAGCAGGTGGCAAGCTGCAGACCAATGTTATTGGACCGCTCAAAACCTCAAATATTCCATGAATAGTTCTGATCAGCGTCATCGAGAAGAAACGCTTTGGATCGGGTTTATGACTACTGAATGACGCGAATCTCAGAACGTTGTGTGGCAAAACTGACCAGAGACTCTGAATGATTTGTGGGAAAATTAATATTATTGTGTGCTATTCGCGGAATAGTGATTTCACTCTAAAACAATTTAATATTTCGTCTTTGGTCATGACGAATGAAAGGAACGCTTAGCTATATATCTGACTTCAGCCGCAAATAGTGCTTCTTGTTGCGTACTTGGTAGATGTGCCGACATTGTTAAGTGAACTTACGAGTGATTTTCCGTGCCAAGATGTGCGTTTTGCTTACAGAAAGCTGTCAATGTTTTCGTTTGTGTGCTTAATGGTAATGATCGAGGGATTAATATCTGCAGCGTTGCTAATGCTGGCCAAATCTAGCTCATCACAAAATAAAATGCACACATTCCTTCTCAAGATTCCAATTTTACCTTAGGGGGTCATTCGCTCTCAGTTTATTTCTAGTTTGAAATGTAAATGATGGCACCTTCTAAGGTAAATAAAAAAGGAAAGGGGAGAGTAGTTGTATTGTCTATATAGCATTCCACACTTAAAAGATGTAAAATCAACCGTAACGGTTATTCGATAATCCAATTCTTTCTTTACGATTATTAACTTTCTTACCTCTCTTTACACAAGTGCACCCCCTTTGATTCGATTGGCATTTCTTTCAAATATTATGTATTTGATAGCCAAACATACAGATAACCAGGGTGAAAAAAATATTCAAACAGGAATCGAACTGGTTATATTATATTTTCCAAATGTAATCCTAACTTTGTTAACTTTTGAAATGATGTTGAACAGAAACGTGAGGCTGAAAGGCATAAACTAATATGCACAAACTGATCTTTCTCTGACCCTCCAGCTCATCGTTAAATATTTCCACAGTACGTAAGAGAAGTGCAAAAACAAGGAAATCACATGATAAAAACAGCAGTTCACCAGATAAGTAAGAATTTATTCCTCCTCAAAACAAAATACACTGTATTAACTCACCCTAAGATATACTTCTTTTCGCAATTGTAAATCTACCACGAAATGATGACCTTAAATAATGTTTCTATTCAAACCTAACGATTCCGAAAGAATCATTCAAAACAGCTTACGAATATCGTGCAGAGTACTGTACGTGTAGATGCAATCGCATGCAAAAACATGTTCGTGGATTTGCAACATTGTGTTCTCGGATCAAATAATTTACGTTTCCTTTTTAGAATCAGCTGAAAATGATTTCTTATGTCGCCTGAGCGGCTCGTTTTTTTTTTTTTTCAATTTTTATCTTCCTTGACCACTTAAAATTGATTACTTGATGCTACCAGTACGTTTCCGCCTGAGACGGAAAAACCTTATTTTACGAGTACCTGTGTAGAGCAAAAGGCTTCAGTTAAAAGTTTAAACCCCATGAGATTGACTCCAATATTTACCAGTGTAATACCGAAAGACAGGCCTAACCAAGCGAATATAATGCTCCTTTTGTATCGTTTCTCATTCATTTCTGTTTGTGTCAATTAAGGAATTGTTTCCAAACATAAGCTGCCACCACTGGAGTAGGGGCCAGCAATTAATCACTTCATGTACAATCACGTAGGTCATATTAATCTACAGTTCCCCAGTCGAAGACAACACATCATAATGTTGTTGACTTCGTGCTTCCCCACTGTGCTGCATTCTGTGAGGATTTCTATCGCTGTGGTACAATTCTCTCTCCCGCAGATCGCGTGAACGTCTCTCAAAGTGAGCTGATCTCTGAGGAAATAACAGCAAACATACAATTATGTTTTACGGCAATGTAATGAAGTATGGCGAGAGCGAAATACTTACTCTTTGTGATCCCCCAGGTTGTATCGTTGCGATAAAATTCATCCTCGTCCGCCACTCGCTCCTCTCTTTTTCGAACTGCTCCTCCATCTCTTCTCTTTCCCTTTCAAATTCTGCTTTCACCTTGCTTTTTTCTTGGCGGGCTTTGGTCTTCATTTGGGAAAGATCGACATGGAGCTTTTCGATCTCTTCCTCCATTTCTCTCATTCTGCCTTCGTGATGTTCCTTTTCTCTCCTTATCTGCTCCTGGTATTCATTGTCCAACTTCGCTAAGACTTGTGCATTATTTTCCATTGATAACGGAACACTGACGTTTGCGCGACCTTCTCTGTTAGACATTTGACTTTGTAGTTGTTTCCTGTGCTCTCGCAGCCGTGCTATCTCTTGGCGGAGACCTTGTAGTGTGCTTTCAATGTTTTCTTTTTCCTTTTGCAGTTTGCGCCTATAATCCTCTTCCATGGTGGCCTCCATGTCCTTCTTAGCTTCTGCAAGAGAGTTAGCCTCAGAGGTAGCGTTTGCCAGCCGTTTCTCAAGCTCTGCTTTTTCTGCTTTAAACTTCAGTTTCATTTGTTTCATCCTTGCTTCAAAATCTCCGCGTAGTTCTTCCCTTAAAATTTCAGATTTTGCATTTTCACTCTTCACTTTTTCTATCCATTCTTCTTCGATTTGATTAATTGTGTCAAGTTTACACTTTTCCCATATCTGCCTCATCTCTTTCTTTTCATTTTCAAAAGCTTCCTCCATTTCTGCTTTGTCTTTCTTCTGTTTCTTTTTTAGATCCTTCTTTTCCTGTTTTCCTTTTTCAAGCTCTTTCGTTAATGCCTGTATCGTGGCCTCCAATACATTCTTTTCTCTTTCGAATCTTCTTTTCATTTCATTCCTTTCACTCTGCATTTCTTTTACCCTAGTTTTCATTTGTGCAAGTGCCGTGTTGTATTTTTCTTCCGTTTTCTTTGCTATGTCTTTTTGCTCTTGTACTTTCTGAGAAACGAGATCTTGTATTTTGTTTTCAAGACCAGTGCTCCTAGAAGACAAATTATTCGAAAAATCTTGTTTTATTTTCTCTTCCAGCTCTTTTTTCTCCTTTTTAAATCTTTCAGCTAGTTCTGCCTCCTCTTTCTCGTGTGTTCGTCGGATATCGTCTAAGTGGTCTTCATAGTATTTCTTGTTTTCTTCCATTCTTCTTTTGAAATCCTCTTTCAGTGCCTCCTCGAGCTTCTGCGTTTCCTCTCGCTGTCTTTTTTCCAAATCAGTTTTTTGTTTTTCGTACTGCTTATGAATTTGAGCTAGTTTCTGTTCAAGTTTCTGCTTCTCGTTTTGAAGACCTTTTATTTTGTCATTTGCCTCGGCAATATCTCTTATGGCATAATTTTCGTCCTCACTATAACCTTCCTGAGGTGCTTGGTCATAGAAGAGGTCTATTTGTAGATCTTGATAACTACTAATGGCGTCTGGTGGTGATCTTGCATTTCTTTCAATTTCTATAATGCGTTGTTCCAACTTGGCTTTTTCTTTCTCAAATCGAGACTTCATGGCCTCCTTCTGGCGTTGAAACTCATCTGCCAACTTCCTTCGTTCATCTTCATTCTTCTGCAGGTCGTCTTCGTATCTGGACACAGCACTTCGGAGCATCTGTTCCCATTCCTCAGTTACCCTTCGAACAGCTCCAGCGTTGTTATTCAACTCATCCTGCAGTTGTCGGTACCTTTCTCGTTCTTTAGCCAGCTCCGAATTATGCCTTTCAACGAGTTCTTTCGTGTCGTTCACATATTTCTCCTCTGCTGCCCTTTTTGCGTCTTTAAGAGTCCTTATATCGCATTGGAGATCTTCTATTTCAGTGTCCAGTTTCTTGCCTCTTGCCTTTTGCTCTTCCAGACGTCTTTCAGTTTCATCGATTGCGTTTTTCTTGTTCAGTTCCATAGATGATGTTAATTTGGACTTCTCATCGGCAAACTCTTCCTCCATCATTTTGATCTTCTTTGTTAGCCGTTCAACTTCGTCGCTGAGATAGGCATTATTCCCTTCTACTTTATTCAGATTTTTGGTGATGTCATCGATTTCTTCAATCATGTCGTCCAGTTTCTTTTGCATTTCGCTTCGCTTCTTTATGTTTCGAGCAATTTCTTCTTGTAGCTCTTCGTTTTTATCCTCGAGTTCTCTCATCTTAGTCACATCTCTACCTACTCTCTCTATCTTTTCCTTCAAATTGATGTTCTCTTCTTCTATCTCTTTATTTCTTCGCTTCATAATGCTGTTGTATTTTGTTACTTCCAAGACTTTCTTCTGCAGTCTGTTGGTGTCACCGCTGTTATCTTCTGTGAGTGTGGTACTATTCCATGACCGTTCTTCACTTTTAGCGCGGCCTTCATTCATGTCGGAAACAATGTTATCCCTCTCTGGCTCGTTATACTGCTTTTCTTGTATGGTGCTCTCTAAAAGACCTTCTGGTTCCATGTCATTGAAAGCACCCTCAAAAATACCCGACTCCGTCGTGCTTTCCATTACAGAAGCGATCGTTTCTCTTGGAATATCTGCCATTCTTCTGATTAGCTGTTCATTTCTTTTCCTCTCCTCATCCAGTTCAGCCTTCAGTCGCCAGTTTTCGTTCTCTCGTCCTGCAATTATTCTTGCCTTCTCAGTTTCAACCGATTCTCTCAACAGTTCTTTTTCTTTGGCGTGCTTCTCCGAATCTTCAAGCATTTTACTTTTCAAATGCATTAAGTCTTGTAGTAGAGCTTCGACATTTCGACTGAGCTTGTTTTTTTCCTCTGTTTCTTTTCTCAAGCGTTCTTGCAAGTCCTCCATTTTTCGACGAGTCTTGGCTTCCACCTCCAGTTCTTGTTTTTGTAGTTTTTCAACTCGATTATTCATGTCATGGATTTCTTTTTCAAAGCTGTTGTTGCACTTCTTCAGATTGACAATAACCGACTCAAGTTTTTCTTTCTTAAAAACTTCTTGTTCTAATTTAGACTCGAGCTTGCTTACTTTTTCTGTAAACTTAGCTTTGATATCCACTATCTTAATGTCATTCTGACTCAATAATTTGGCTTTCTCTTTGTTCTTATTTTCTGCCTTTTTCAGGTTGTCTTTCAGGATTTCCATTTCTTCCTCTAAGTCAAATTTCATCTCTTCCATCAATCTCTCCTGATCCTTCAACATCCGTTCCTTCTCCCTTAATGCTGTTTCTAACTTAAGCTTTTCCTTTTCTAGCTTCACGTATTCTTCTTTGGGAACATATTTGTCCAAATTCTCAACGAAGTCGTTGAGTGGATCACTCATGGGGGCGTCTTGCAGGTGGTCTATTATTTCACTTAATTTCTCATTTTCTTTTGCCAAGATGGCGATATCTAAAGCGTAGCCATTTTGCCCGGGTGAGCGGCCATTATTATCATCACTTAGGGAGGCAATTCCTGGTTCTTTTGAGCTTTCAAAACTCTTTACTCCAAGACTTGAAGTCGTAACTTTTCCTTGTGTATTTCCTCGTTTTAGCCGTTGGTTTTCTTGTTTTAAATTCCTTATTTCGTCCTCGAGTTGAGAGGACTTTAAATTGAATCTTTCCTCGAGGAAGTCCCTTTCTATTTTGTCCTGCCTATATCTTCGTTCAAAGATCGCTTTTTCTCTCTCAATCTGTCGTATTTTTGCCTGGTTATCCCTCTTCTCTCGTAACATCTCATTGATCCTTGCGTCGCTTAAGTCTTTGTCCGCCATCCACTTGCTGGTCTGCAATTTATGGTCGGTACCTGTTCCGTACGGGTACGAATGAAAATCATCAATTTCATCTGAAGTTTCGCTGACGGTGTCGTTGAATCCATCGGGGTTATCGTTCCTAAGCTGGCTCATGGCCTCTTTCAGGATCCTGTTTTCTTGAAGTATGTTTGACATGTCGCGACCGTCATCGGAAAATATCGATGATAAGTCATCATCACCATAGAAACCGCCTGAAACTCTATCGTTTGCAAGGAAGTCGTCTTCCAAATAAGACTCGTAAGTGGCCCTCTCCTTTGAATGACTATCTTGTACCTCATCTCGCGCAAGAGCGCCTTCATCGTCGTGTATTTCAGAATGCAATGAAACATTGTCCATTTCCGACCTTTTCTCCTCATCTTTAAGTCCATCTCGTTCAACCGCTTCTGGAATTGATCGGTTTTCCTCATCGTCATAATTCTCCTGTCCTTCCTGAAAACCACTTTCCCGGCCTTCGACGTCATCAAAGTGTTCTGTGGTCCCTTCGCTTCCCTCGCCATCAATATGTGAAGGTGCATCCTCCACTTCACTAGTATTGTTTACCTGAGCGTTTTGTTCGAAGTTGTTATCATGTTGTTGCAAATACCTGTCAGGATTATCGGTTACAATCTCTTCGATTATGCTACGGTCTTCATTCTCCTCGTCATCCTCTTGGTCGTTATAGGAGTTTGAATCTTTTTTTTCTAAGGTGCTGTTTTCCACGATTTTGGAGGTTTCAGATTTTTGAAATTCATCCTTACTCTCATCAAGATTATCGGTTACAATCTCCTTTTCGACTATGCTACGGTCTTCATTCTCCTGGTCGTCATGGAAGTTTGAATCTTTTTTTTCTAAGGTGCTATCTTCCACCATTTTGAAGGTTTCAGATTTTTGAAATTCATCCATACTCTCATCCAACTCTATTGGCATTACCGAGATATCTTCATCTTCTTCTTGTTTTTGTTGATGATTTTTGTCTGCCACATCCTCATGCTCAGTTAGTAAATAGGTGTCCTGTAGATCCCTGCCTGAAGTAGTAGGCAAATCTTCCTCCAATACAGAACCCTGAGGTTTAGATTCGAGCTCATTTGACGATTCTGGGTCAGTTATGCCAGATATTTTCTCTTCCACTGAAAATCCGTCTGTTTCTTGTCTTGAATCCTTTTCATCTCCATCGATCTCCGCTGCTGACATTTCATGGTCGAGCAAGCCACCGGTGGCCAAGTCAGCATCATTTTCTACAAACGCTGTCGCAACATCATCCTCGAGACCTTTAATGATGTCTTGATCTCCACCTCTGGGTATCTCTAGTTGTGCGCAATCTGTATCCTGTTTTTCTTCTTCAGGATCACTGTCATTTTCTAATGCATCAGGTTCTTTGTAAGCTGATTCTTTGTCTTCTGGCAGTGCTTCGTTTACTTCCTTGCCTGAGGTTGCATCATCTCCATCGCTTTCTGTAATATGGGTTTTTTCTGTCGCGACTGAAGTAAAAGAGTCATTCTCCTTTTCAGTAAATCCCTCTTCGGCTGGTTCATCCATTTAATCAAGGAAAGACGTGTTCCAAATTACTGTTCAAGCCCAGAAAATTATTGTCAAGCCCAAAATTTAAACTAGTAGTCGTTACTGAAGTTCAGTAATGATTACCGCCGAAAAGATACTCGAGTTTCTTGTTTCTCAATAATGGCAACTTCTTCGCGGTACAGAACCAGCAAATGGCAGGGATCCGTGCTTGAGAACTTGCTCAAACTTCTGTTTCGTCCAGAAATTTCGAACTTTGTTTGGCATAGCTTCGTTTTGTATACAACCCAAAATACCTTTGCATCGCGTTGACGATGTGCCAAGCGCTTTGAAAAGGATTTCAAATAATTTATTCCTTTGCAATGAAAAGTATTTTTCTACATAATCCGCGTAATAGTGCTAAACGTGCCATGAAAATTGAGTTCATGGGATGATATCCAGAAATTACCAGTTTCTTGAATAATAAGTATAGGGATGAAAACAGCCACCAGACGAGCAAACACCTCCCTTGCCAAACGTTCGCATGTCAAATATCGCGTTATTATTCCTAACCATATCCGAGTGCATTTCGCAATGTAGAATTTAGCTTAACGTACCTAATCTTATGAAGTATTTGTCAGTCGAATTCTATTTTGGGTCCATGCAGGAAAAGTATCTCTGTATATACCTTTAGACTTTGTTTTCGTTTTTTCACAAGCCAAATTCTTGAAACCTCAAAACCGCAATTTTTCATTTGTATGCATTTGTAATTTGTATGCACCAATTTGTGAGTGAAACCTGTTGTTTTTGCAGAAAACTGACTTTCTTGTAATTCGGTATTTTTCTAAAGTAAAATATATTTTCTTTTAATGAATTTCCAAGCTGTTGCCGCTGAATCTTTTGCTAGAGCTTCAAAAGAACTTTCGAAATCACTAGCACACACTTTAGGTCACTTTTTGAAAGGCAGGAAACCATTGCTTATTGCTGGTGGCAAAATCCGAAAACAGAACACCTCCTTTAACGATACCATAATGTGGTGCAGACTAAAAACATTGTTCGAGAATATCCTTAGTTACTTGACCAAAACCTGGTAAAATTGTATTTTGGCTCATTTCTGATGACTGATGTTAACTTGTTAGTTTTCGTCGTTGATCAGTCTAATGGATCTCATTACTATCTCATGAAAAAGTGTATTTATATATATATATATATATTTTGTTTAATTTACGGGCTAAATATCCTTTTATCTCTCTTGGAAATGTTCACGGCAATAGTCCTAAGGTAGAGATAACCCTGTTCATATTTTCGCGTTTGCTTTATGCGCTCCAATTCAGTTATTTCTGATATTCTATCTTAGCTCATACCTGTAGGAAAAGGCTGTGATTCGTACATCTCTTTTTTACTACTATCAATATGACCATTTCTACTCAAAGTCACAAGCTTTGGACTCATTGTTTACTTTTAATTTATCGCGGGCGGGAGTGGGGGTGTGACACTTAATTTTTTTTTTTGTTTTATAAACAAAGAAGAGTTAAATTTTACTCACTTTTGCATAAAAAATGAATTATTGAACTCGTGTTGACATGATATTTCTACAGATTTTTTTTTTTTTAATAACTTCGAAATAAGTTCTCGTCATCGATTCCATAAATTCAGTTTTGTTTTCGGCTGACTTTGCGACTGACCCCAGGTATATAACCAATGAACGCGATTGAGAAGGGAATTACACATGCTGAAGTCGACAGAATAAATTGGCCATTATCCGAGAGCCAATCAGAAACCAAATACTCCTTTCTTGAAAAGCGTAATTCAAGATGTCTTATTCTTTTTATGTCAAAGGGTTTTCTTAAGTGCTTTGAAAATAATTTTCATTTGGTCGAATGCAAATGTCTTCACTGCCTTTGTTCTACGCTCAAAAATGTCAAAAAAAATACCAGCCGACGTTTTAAAAAGAATGGTATCAAAGAAATTTTCCTTGTTTCTTACACTTGTTAATAATTTATACCAATACATACTGAAAACGCCTACGACAGTTTTTTTAACTTACAAAATGAAAACATAGGCGCCGAAGCTGGTACACGTAGTTCTTACTTTCAGTAACTTTCCAAGTGATACTGTAAATTGCACCGGGAAATTGGTAAGCGATTCTTGCACAAGTGCCCGGGAAGAGGCCTCTAGAGGATGTGAGTTTTCAGTCTTCGTGCGGTGGGAATTTATTGAACTCGTGTTGACATGATATTTCTACAGATTTTTTTTTTTTTAATAACTTCGAAATAAGTTCTCGTCATCGATTCCATAAATTCAGTTTTGTTTTCGGCTGACTTTGCGACTGACCCCAGGTATATAACCAATGAACGCGATTGAGAAGGGAATTACACATGCTGAAGTCGACAGAATAAATTGGCCATTATCCAAGAGCCAATCAGAAACCAAATACTCCTTTCTTGAAAAGCGTAATTCAAGATGTCTTATTCTTTTTATGTCAAAGGGTTTTCTTAAGTGCTTTGAAAATAATTTTCATTTGGTCGAATGCAAATGCCTTCACTGCCTTTGTTCTACGCTCAAAAATGTCAAAAAAAATACCAGCCGACGTTTTAAAAAGAATGGTATCAAAGAAATTTTCCTTGTTTCTTACACTTGTTAATAATTTATACCAATACATACTGAAAACGCCTACGACAGTTTTTTTAACTTACAAAATGAAAACATAGGCGCCGAAGCTGGTACACGTAGTTCTTACTTTCAGTAACTTTCCAAGTGATACTGTAAATTGCACCGGGAAATTGGTAAGCGATTCTTGCACAAGTGCCCGGGAAGAGGCCTCTAGAGGATGTGAGTTTTCAGTCTTCGTGCGGTGGGAAGATAGAGTGCGAGAAGCGTTCCTATAAATGTTGATTACGCAAACATTAAATTAAAAACGTTAGAACATACCACTTACAAAGAGTCACGTCGCGCGTGTTCCGTATTCTATGGTCGACATCCTGTCTATCAGGAATTCTCTGCACCTAAAACGTAAATGAAAATCAATTAGTTGTAAAAGAAAGCAGAAGAAAGTTGGCAAGGAAACTTGCTCCGCAGCGAATGATGAATACATGATAAAGTATTGCCACCATTTGGCGATAGGTTAAACAAAAGATTACGGAAATTGTGTTTTTCTGCCTGTTATTTTTCTTGATAGTTCCGTCTTTGAGTAAGATTAATTTGAAAGTAAGGTGGAAAATTAAATTCTCAAAGCTTTGCTCGACTTCCTGCATTACTAAGAGTAATCCAGCGTATGGCAGGCAAGCATACACGTTGAGCAACAAATAGTTTTGATTAGATGTAAGCGACAGATCATGGGTTCAACTCATGTCGGACATACTCCAAGTTGCTTTCTTTGAGTATGCCGACTTCCCTTACAGTAAGAAATCATCCCCGTTACCTTCTTATCTCCATAATTGCGCAGAGGAATGACATCATTTTCCAATTCATATTAGTATGCAGAATGTAATCCAATGAACTTTAGTTCAAAGACCCGCCACTCTCTAACAGCTAATGGCAGAGCATCCGAACTACTTATTAGAAGATCCTAAACTCGATTCCCGTAGCGATCACTTGGAATTTCTTTCCAGGATATGGCAGTATACACTATTACTTGACTTTTACAACACCCGTGCTCAGTCAATTTTCTTGTGTTCTCTTGGCAAGTCCACGTAACAGGATAGAAAACTTGCTGGGGTATAAATTTCCTTAAACCATTCTCATTTTCTTTGGCTAGTGTCCCTATGAAGTTGTCAACATTAACAAATATCCCCCTCCGCAATTTTTTCTGTGATATAATTAGCCTGTCTATTGTTGGACACGTCAACGACTTCCTTAGAAATAACTTGTCATACTTTTCTTTTATTTCTTTTTGTACTCTTTGTCCCACGCGACAAGACAGGACGAAAAAAATCTTCTCTACTTCTCTTTTTATTCGCTAAGATTAATTTGTCAAGGAAAATGTTCTCACTGAATACTTCGCTCAAGTCGTGGCTCTTCTTCGCGTCTTATTAGCATGTAGCTTGTCAAGAACTGGTGCGTTTGCGAATAAAAGTTGTCCTTACTAAATTGTTTTTAGAATATTTATGCTGTCTGAAATGGACAGGTGTTGTCAGCTGTATCAATATAGTTAAGATAGAGGGTCTCTTACCTAGATACTATCTCATGAGGAAAGTTGCGCAAGAAACGTCGACAAGTATTTTTTGGGTTTTTCGTCTTACTTTATTCCAAATCTTAGTAGGTAAGTTTTCCTTGAGATGTATTATGTTCATTGGTGGAAAAAGTGAGGTTATCGTCATTTTATCGTCGGGTTGTCGTCTCAGGTTATCGTCTCAACGTGAATATTGTTCGATTGAGAGAGGTTCCGCATATTCTACAGCTGTCTACGTATTCAGTCGTTCTTGAAACTGAATTTAACCTCAAAGAAAAGTTTCCCCTAAATCTAGGCTTGATGCTATGCGATGTACTTTCGTTTAAAAAAGCAACCTTTTTGTAGTAGTTAGAGAAATACGTCATCGATATAGATGCAAATTTTCTCTGTTATAAATTTTGCCCAGTGTTTAAGCATGCTAATTGCTTAACTTGGCTTGGTTAACTGCACAAGGATCAAGGGAAGTTTATCGAGGCAGGCATTACCATGGAAACTCAGTGAGGCTAGTATCTTTTCTTAAAATACATTTCCAGTTTACTCAAACTAAACGAAAAGAACTGATATGGCTCTAAAAGGATATTCTCACCTTCTCTGTTTTCAATTAAACCAACTCGAAATTTATGGCACGCAGTAAAATCTTTATTAAGCCTTCTGATGGCTTAGTCAAAAGAAAATCATTAGCTTTTTTTAGAGTTAAAAAAAATATATATATATATATATATATATATATATATATATAGAGAGAGAGAGAGAGAGAGAGAGAGAGAGAGAGAGAGAGAGAGAGAGAGCACCATTGTCTAATGGCTTTAATTGTTAAAGATTTTCCATGTTACGCAAAATCTAAAAGCGAAAGTATCATAATCTATGATGTTTATTTGGCCTAACATTGACTAACATTTCATGAAAGCTCCGTCATACGGAGCAAGATTAGCCGCCCATTTTTGCATGTCTTAAATAATTTAGCCGCTTTTTGTGAACGTGTTTCATTGTGAGCTTCAATAATGCATGCCACTTCAAGATGAACCAACACTACAAGAACCTTAATTTCGCAGAACCAGTTTCAACTTCCTATCTGTCGATCACAAGAGAAGAAACTAAAGAGGAGGAGAAAACAATTC